AGATGTCGATGCGTGGTTGCCTGCTGTAGCAGAAGAATGCCCAACCATACTGCGAGAAACTACACTTACACACTGAAGTAGCTGTTTACATGGACTTTGAGTTTGTCTAATAAAACAGGACAGAAAGATTTTTCCTCGTCTCTTCAGTTGTATAAATCTGCTTCATCTTTCATCTTTACTTCCATTTTCTCATCCCTCCATCAGTCAAAAGACAAACCCAAAGTCCCAGGAACAAGAACATCCAACGGCCATTAATAACATTTATTTTACATGTTGCAACATGCAGCAGCGACAACAGATGGCCAACTCATCTATTCATTGCTGTATTCATTTAATGGGCCCACAGAACATCTCTGTAAATTATTTATGGTCCTGGAATTAAAACCAAGAAACCATGTCTGCTGCAACAACATGATACATTAGATGATGTAACATTTAGTTGTGGATTTGTTGTGTCACAGAAATACTTGAGCTCCGGTTTTTTGTGTATCTATTTTGATATGAGTATATCTGACATTGTCTTGAGAGTTAAATGTGTAAAAAGTTGTGTTAACACAAGGCCAAATATTTAAAGAAAAGCTTTAGTCTCCATACGAGGAGATTAATCCTGCATTACCCTTATCACCTTATCCCAAGGACTAGTGATAAGTGGCACCATTTGTTGCCTTCTCCTCTGCACAGCCACAGAGTATTCTCCTTTTCTGGTCATTTTCCACCAAGGATTTCGTGTGTGACGCAGAAGTATGAGGTACAATGTAAACTGTTGCTGTCTCTTCTGTTGGCCCACTGCGATACTATAACTTTTATTATCTGCACTCACTCTGACATGCAGCGGAGGATGGATACCACGCTCGGTCCATTCTCACAAAAACGTGCACACTAAAAATGTCAGGTTATGCAGTTTACATGCCCTTTAGTAACCTCAAAGTGAGTATCCCTGCGGTGAAAAACAGACACACTATATTTGGATAGTTTAGTGGTGACCTGAGAGTAGCAGAGGATGTTCAACAAAGTCTTACTTCTGTACATTCTGTCCAGTTACATTATAGTGATAGTAGTGCTGTGCCTTACACTAAATATAGACTGGTTTTCACAGAGCTGTGAGAAGCACTTTGGACTCAGTCGACTTTTACTGACGTGACAGCAATGTCAAAGTTAGATAAATAATTTCCTAAAAATTTTCAAGAGGTTTCTTGGACAGAACTTTGTACTTTGATGCGAAATTTCGGAAAAACGGATACAGTTTTTAATGGAGTGCTGCAGACGTGTGTCCTAACACTTGGAAATTAATTTGTATTTAAGCCAGTTCCCTCATCAGTGGGTTTTTTGAATGGGTTTTTGGTTAACACAAGCTTAACAGACTTTCACGTTTTGTTCTGACATAAAATAGCCTACATCAGTAATACCCCACTCAGAAATTTTTAAGCCTTTACATGTCAAAAAGATGGCTGCTAACAAGTGGCTAAATGCGACTACAGCTCTACAGGCTTTACAGCCTTGTTGTAGCAGCGTTATTTAAGTCATGCAACCGTGGTATAGTTTGTTGATAGCCTAACGTTAGATTTTTACTTTTGGCGATTGCATTTAGGCTTCATTAAAATATTGCTGAACAAAATCATAAACTTTTATTTGCCACAGCTTATTTTCTGCTACATCCAAAATCCCAAAGTTGTTTTTTTTTGTTTTTGTTTTTTGTCAAGGAAACCAGGGCGACGCTAATTTCTGTGTTGGCCTACATGGAATAAACATCATCCATGTGACACTCTATTGGTACACTTGGAATTATATTTTTCAAATCCATTACATCTGATCAGGATGCCTCCTGGGTGCCTCCTGCTGGAGGTGTTCCGGACACGTCTCACTGGTAGGAAGCCCTGGGGTAGACCCAGAGCACTCTGGAGGGATTACATATCTCATCTGGCCTGAGAACGCCTTGGGGTCCCCCAGGAGGAGCTGGGAAGCATTGCTGGGTAGAGGGACATCTGGGCTGCTTTGCTTGGCCTGCTGCTCCCGCGAGCCCGCCCCGGATAAGAGGATGAAAATGAATGTTGAATATTATAGACAGTGTTTAAGTCAGCTGAACACAAAAAAGAAAATTTGTTCGCTAACAAGCATACAATTGGACAAATATGGAAAATTAGGTTTCTTTATAATAAATTAATATTCACATGGATTAAAAGTGCTGCAAGTACAACCCCTGGCAAAAATTATGGAATCACCAGTCTTGGAGGATGTTCATTCAGTTGTTTAATTTTATAGAAAAAAAGCAGATCACAGACATGACACAAAACTAAAGTCATTTCAAATGGCAACTTTCTGGCTTTAAGAAACATAAAGAAATCAAGAAAAAAAATTGTGGTAGTCAGTAACAGTTACTTTCTTAGACCAAGCAGAGGGAAAAAAATATGGAATCACTCAATTCTGGGGAAAAAATTATGGAATCATGAAAAACAAACAAACAAAAGAACACTTCAACACACCACTAGTACTTTGTTGCACCACCTCTGGCTTTTATAACAGCTTGCAGTCTCTGAGGCATGGACTTAATGAGTGACAAACAGTACTCTTCATCAATCTGGCTCCAACTTTCTCTGATTGCTGTTGCCAGATCAGCTTTGCAGGTTGGAGCTTTGTCATGGACCATTTTCTTCAACTTCCACCACAGATTTTCAATTGGATTGAGATCCGGACTATTTGCAGGCCATGACATTGACATTATGTGTCTTTCTTCAAGGAATGTTTTCACAGTTTTTGCTCTATGGCAAGATGCATTATCATCTTGAAAAATGATTTCATCATCCCCAAACATCCTTTCAATTGATGGGATAAGAAAAGTGTCCAAAATGTCAACGTAAACTTGTGCATTTATTGAAGATGTAATGACAGCCATCTCCCCAGTGCCTTTACCTGACATGCAGCCCCATATCATCAATGACTGTGGAAATTTGCATGTTTTCTTCAGGCAGTCGTCTTCATAAATCTCATTGGAACGGCACCAAACAAAAGTTCCAGCATCATCACCTTGCCCAATGCAGATTCGCAATTCATCACTGAATATGACTTTCATCCAGTCATCCGCAGTCCACGACTGCTTTTCCTTAGCCCATTGTAACCTTGTTTTTTTCTGTTTAGGTGTTAATGATGGCTTTCGTTTAGCTTTTCTGTATGTAAATCCCATTTCCTTTAGGCGATTTCTTACAGTTCGGTCACAGACGTTGACTCCAGTTTCCTCCCATTTGTTCCTCATTTGTTTTGCTGTGCATTTTCTGTTTTCAAGACAGATTGCTTTAAGTTTTCTGTCTTGACGCTTTGATGTCTTCCTTGGTCTACCAGTATGCTTGCCTTTAACAACCTTCCCATGTTGTTTGTACTTGGTCCAGATTTTAGACACAGCTGACTGTGAACAACCAACATCTTTTGCAACATTGCGTGATGATTTACCCTCTTTAAGGAGTTTGATAATCCTCTCCTTTGTTTCAATTGACATCTCTCGTGTTGGAGCCATGATTCATGTCAATCCACTTGGTGCAACAGCTCTCCAAGGTGTGATCACTCCTTTTTAACTGCAGACTAACGAGCAGATCTAATCTGATGCAGGTGTTAGTTTTGGGAAAGAAAATTTACAGGGTGATTCCATAATTTTTTCCTCAGAATTGAGTGATTCCATAATTTTTTCCCTCTGCTTGGTCTAAGAAAGTAACTGTTACTGACTACCACAATTTTTTTTCTTGATTTCTTTTAGTGTTTCTTAAAGCCAGAAAGTTGCCATTTGAAATGACTTTAGTTTTGTGTCATGTCTGTGATCTGCTTTTTTTCTGCAAAATTAAACAACTGAATGAACATCCTCCAAGACTGGTGATTCCATAATTTTTGCCAGGGGCTGTAACTCTGGAGAAAGACAACTGATTGTTGAGTGCCATTCCCAGGTCCTCAGATACCAACGGTTTAGGCTGGTGGTTCGGTATAACTACCAACCTAAAGCATTGGTATTTGATGACCTGAGAATGAGTAGGGCTGGGTACAGGGACTCAATACTTTTCAGATATCCACAGAAATAACCCAGCCTGTACCAAGTAGTATCTGAACTTTTCCAACCAAGTGGTACCTGGATTCAAACCTTGTTGTACCCAGATCTATAAAGAAATGACTGTTTGTATGGTTTGCTGGCAGCCAATGACCGCAAAAGTTCTTTGTTTTAATGTGACATTCATGCTTGTGACATCTTATACAAGTGAACACTTCCATTCACATGATGGGTATCAAATAAAGTAGGAAATAAAGATAAATTAAATGGAGTGCTCTATTGGTATCTGTATTAGTCTTAGTTTTCTTTAAATGATACCCAGCCTTAGGAATGAGATTCAACAATCAACTCTTTCTCCAGAGTTCCATACAACCCTATAAATAGAGCAGGAAATTCCTATTTCCCTATAATTATTACTGGACTGCTCCCAAATAACAAAGCAAAGCATGAGTAAGTTATTCCTGTTCATTAAACCATCCACCAGCTGTCCTCGCTGCATTTAGTTAGGCAGAAATTTGCTTCTTGTGCATAGTCATAAATCTGTCTTCATATATTCATCTTATTCATGCAGGTAATACAATGCCAAGTCAGAAAAAAACTCTCCACTCCTCTGAAGTTGAAGCTTTTTGTTGTGGAGTTCAGCTTCACAGAAAGTGGATCATTTCATGTTGTCTTGGCATGGAGGAGATTTTTATTTTTGCCAGAAACCTGTAGCCAGTCCATTTAGGAGAACAGACAATAAGATCCAGCAGGAATCTTAGCAGTGTTCCTCATCAGCCTGAACTGAGGACAAACTAGTACAAAGTCTGACTGTCAGTGATAATCAACGCTGCATAATGTGCCGCGCCGCTCGTGGCTTTGTTTTCAGTGTCTGAATAACAGCCACCATCCAGACTGGGCTGTTAGCTGTCAGCACTGATAATGTAATACATATTTCTCAGAGACAGCTCACACTGCACACATATTTTATCTTTGTTTTGTTTTTTTATTTCAAACACTCTTCCACCCACCGGCTCAGGTTATAATCAGGTAGTAACACTTTGCAAAATATAAGAAAAAACACTTTATTGTGTCACAAACAGTAAAAAGATAAAATATGTACATTGATAAAGCCATGCAGTTATTGTAGTATTTGGAAACCAAAATGAACAAGTGGGAAAGGATTTAAAAACATGTTTGGAAAAGCTACAAAGAAAACACAACTACAACCTGAAGCCAACATCTCTAAGCCCTCGTGGCCTCTCACAGTGCGTCGATTTTGTCTCAGTATGTTTCCGTTTTTCTGTTTCAAGACTCTGGAGCAGTGGGAGGATATCAGAATAGATGTGCAACAACAGAAACTCAAAAACACACACACACACACACACACACACAAAAAACACAATACATCTGACAAATTACTTGTCACTTAGAGAAAGATAAAAGATAAGATTAAATAAAGGAATAAGGTTATTAAAACAGGCTTAATATAACCATTTATCAGAAAGGCTTCAAAAGCAAAAGCAAAACACTCTTTGAAATGTGACAGAAGATGTCATATTTTTTAAGGTTTAACCCCCTTCTATCTATAAAACAAAATCCCATATAAAATATTTTCCCCTCACTGATTCTTCACAACTGTAGTCACTTCTTTGAGGTCTTCTCCAACACCCAGTCGATGACCTACAACAACAGAAAATAACCTTTAGGAGGTTCAAGTTCAGAAGACCTACACCAAGTGGAGAACATTTGGTGTTCGGTGGTGTTACCTGTTTAACGTTGCTACTGGCTGCCTTCTTCATCTCGTCATGCAGACCCCGAGACGTCTTCAGATCCTGGAATCAATTATAAGAAAAGGAGATCACTCATACTGACACAGTGAGGTTAGCTCGTCACAAAGCTGACCACTAATGTGGGCTGAAGAGAAAAAAGAAAAGAGAAAGTTTAATTTATGTGACAGTCAATGTCTACACACTTTTCAGACTAAGAGTTTACATACCAAGTATACAATACACGCATACAAAGTCATAATAAATCAAACTACCTGTAGTGGCCATTTGTCTATAATATAAATCAAACACTTGAAACCAACAAGTCACTGATGCACCACAGGAAGTTCAATGCAGGCAAAAGAGATCAATTGTCCATTAAGCAGTGATTTTTCTTGAGTGGGTCTCAGGTGCATGCTGCTCCTATAAACCTGAGGTGCCTGCAGGGTTGCCCAACACTTGCAAAACAAATAAGTAGCAAAGAAAAATACTATAAAATAAGGAAATAAATATAGAGAATAAATCAAACACTCAAAAGAAGTAAGATAGAGCTCCCACACAACTCAACAATATATAAAGAAGATAAAATGAGCTCCTTCTCATCCAGCTATAACAACAACATATATACATATTAGGGATGTAATGATTACCAATATTACGGTAAATCTCGGTTAATTTTTACACAGTAAGAATTACCGTTTATGTTTAAATTAATTACATTATCACGGTGGATTATCAGGATATGTAATAACAGCCTCATTCAAGTCTCGCGATGCAGGCGCTGCGTGAATGCGTAGCATGTGTAAACACAAAATGACAACATGGCGGAAGGTGGTGATAGCTGCACGCAGGACATTTTCCCCCCCTACTAAACACACAAAGTCTGAGGTCTGGGCGTACTTTGGGTTTCTGAAGAATGCCGAGGGACAGCTGGTGGAGGACAACTATCCTGTGTGCAGAACATGCAGAAAGAAAGTTGCTGCGAAGGGCAGCGACACTACAAATCTGCTGGCTCATCTCCGTGACCATCATCCACAGCTTTACAGCCAATGCAAGTTATGCCATGCAAAAGTCAGTTATTGTGTGAGGGACTTCGGTTTTACTATTATTGTCATAATGTGTAACTCTCGACGTATACGGGACATTTGAGCCGTATCTGTCCTCCTAAAAGGAGACTAGATTTTCAGTTTTCGTTTAAGACAATTAGGAGCTAATACAAGCTGAGTAGCTAATAGCCATATTAGCAGCTATGTTGCTAAGTGTTTCAAAACGAAACGGAGCTGAAAACACTGAACATTTTTTCAGTTTCCACTGTGAAAAGTTGTGGATGGTACCAATGGGACCATTTTGTACCATCCCCATTTTTGGTCACCCCTCAGTTGGGGTACCTAGCACACAGATATGGTACTACATGTAAAAGGTGGAGCTGCTCATGTAACCACTGTTCATACTATGGAGAGTTTAACTTATATTAGTAGACTGTAACTATAAAATAAAAGGATGTTTTGCTGCCTCTTGCAGCAGCTGGAGTCTAAGAAAAAATAATTTAATTGACCATGCCGACTGCTGGCAACTTTTAAGGTGTAATGTTAACTTGTAATGTTACTCAATGTATGAGTTGACGACGTGAATCCATTAACACACGTGTCACTAATGTGACAACTTTGACCATTCCATTAGTTTTTATATGACATACACTCTTAGTAATGAGTGGATTTTCAAACATTTATACATATTAATTTCGACCTGGACAGAATATGTCCCAATCCTCACTCTGAGAATAAAAAAGTGTTGCTAAGCATTGTTCCTCCGGCAACACTAAACCCCTGAGCTTGCCTTAGAAGGACTAAATGCACAAATCCACTATTTTTAAATATCCCATTTTATTCAGAAAATGTCAGCATGCAATCTACTGTACTGTTTGTGGAGGAAACGCAAGGGTCTAGGTACCATGTCTGAAGGGTTACATTTGGTTCCAATATTGAAAGTGTTTGGTGGAAACGGGCTAAACAAACTAGGCAGCGCTGATCAAATATGAATCATGCTTATTTCTCGCATGTTAAGTGATATGTGTTCAGAAACATTTTATTTTACTGTTTAGCTGTAACAAAGGAAAGTTTGTGACCCGGCTGCCATGTTGGATACAGTTTACCAAAGTACCAAGCACTACCCATCCGCCAACTTTCTCATTTTACAGCTAAACAGTACACTAAAATATGTTTCTGAGAACTTTTGATGTGAGAAATAGGCAATGCAGTAACAGAATCCTGATTCATATTTAATCAGTGCTGCCTAGTTTGACAGTTTGACCACAGTTCATGAGCAGTGATTGACATGATTGACCGCTGTGTTATAGACTCCTCGGCTCTGACTGGTTGTTTTTGTTGACATGCAGTAAGACCATTAGAAGCGCTACAAAGCAATAGAGTTGGCAAGATTATTAGTGTCATTTAGTGCTGTGTGAATACAGTGAAAGTTTTAGCAGCTATGACTAAAGTTATTTTGTAAAAAAGTCACCAACGACACCTATAAGTAAAGGATCTGAGTACTTCTTCCACCACTGCTGGCAAGTTAGGGAGTTTTTCCTCAGTGTTTATATTCTCTCAAACATAAACACCTGATTCCAATTAACAAGGAGGCACAAAAGAAAATAGATGGAAAAAGTGAGTTTTGGCAAAAAGCAGGCATGGCGTCTTCAGGCTGTTCCTATTATCATTCTAATTTGTTGGGAGGATCTATAACAAAACGCAACATATGGTCAAATTTGCAGAACAAGTCCTGGATGCAAAGAGGCATACAAATAAAGAAACTGTCAGGGAGAGGACAGCGCTGACTGTGTGTGGGCAGTAAAAAGACTAACCTTGAGATAGAATTTTGAGATATCAAACAGTCTTTTGCTGCAGGCCTCAAAGCACTCATGCTCGGCAGTAATCCCGTGGTGTTTGAGAGTTTTAGCCACCACCTCCTGCAGCATCTGAGGACACAAAAGACGGAGACACATGCAGTTTTATATTAGCACAATCGTGAAAACATTATATCAAGTTGTGTTTATTCCCGAAACACCTGACGCCAACCCAGTTTAGAGAAACTAATTTTAACACGGCTGCCTTTTTAAAACAAAGGGATGTCAGAATGTCTCGACTTTGGGGGACGTCCTTGCACAGAATTGCATGCCTTTACATTCAGCGTGAGGCACAAACATACAAATATTTTCCTGGTAGCGTCGACTGGGAAAATACATTCCTGAAATAAATAGATCTGCCTTTAATCTTGTCAGAGCGACTGTTCTGAGGAAACACCATAAATTATTGTGAGGAATCATCTGTGCCATTCAGTCTCATGAGGAGAAAGGCAGCTTTTAATCTCTGTCCTGAATAAACTGCTATCATTATTTCTGAATAGGGCCAACTGTTCTTTCCTATACTTGGGTTTGGATGATAAGCCTGTTTGCATAGTAATCAGAAATCAGAACAAGTCAAGGTCGGGATGCAGATTGTGAGCTGTACGTGGGACAGAGGAAACGGTGTGAAGGTGTGGGTGTGTGTGTGTGTCCATGTATGTGTGTCCGCCTTTGCCCACACTGTACTGAACAAATCGTAAAAGATGGGAGAGAACAGCGTGTGTGTGTCTGTGGAGGCAGGCAGCAGGTGATATGATAATAGTATAGTTGTTAAAGTACTTCTGCTGTGACATTATAATGCAGCCCACACATTCACAGTGATCACATGCAAAACATAAAACATTAATCTTCACCGGAGCTGTTGCACAACTCTCATCTGTCGAAGAAAGACTCTAAGTGTGTTTTGTGTGTCCGTCTGTCACTGCGTCTGTGTTTTTTGGAGAGTGGGGAAAATACAAATTTGGTTGTTTCCTGATTTAGTTGAAAAAGTAAAAACTGTCTTTATTATGATAAATTCTTAAACAGGTGAAAACTATAGCTTAGTTTTTAATTTTTCTCTCTCCATTTTACTAGGCTTGTGCTGATTGGCAATTTGATCATTTATCAAAAATTGAAGGGATGATCAACATTGTTTTTGTCCTACACTAATACTAAAGTGTTTTTAACTCATTTACTATCAGAACTAAGATGCAATGAAAACAATCTCTAGATTGTGCACCTATTGGGCATTTAAAAATGTTTCTAGTGGAGCTACAAGTCCCTCCCTGAGACCAATATCAGCACAAGTGACAAGTTCATTTTAAATCCTTAATGACAAACAATTTTCCCCTCTCTCTTCCATGGATCTGATACCCTATGTCTTCGCTATCTGTATGCCTGCTCACTTAATTGCTCCGCACTCCATAAGAGTAGCTAACGTTATGGATATGACTTGGATTGTTGTATTAAAGATGAAATAATACGGTTAAGCAGAACATGACACTGATATTGTCACACCAAACACAGACACGCAGACTTCTAAGCGGGAGTCGCTGTTTGAATAGACGAGGCACTGCTATTAAATTGATTTTATTTACAATGCAGGATTGTCAGTTACTATTTGTAAATACACTCACTAGCAAAAAACAAATAAAAGTAGTAGCCCACTTTCGATTGGAGTTTTGCCCATTTTTTTTTTTTGCCCTTTTGCCTTTTTGTAAAGCCCCAACCTCACCCAAGCATTGCTGGGGTACACGCCCATAAACATCTCGACCACAGCAAAACAAGAGAAAATAAGAAAATACAGGCAGGGGGATCAGAAGTGATGATTGAAAGGGACTATGTCTGTATGAGCCATTACATGTTTTAGGAAAATTCCACATCTTAAATGTTTAAATACCAACTAGAGCTTAGCTCACTTTTTTTTTTTTTATCTTCCCACCCCCTCCTATTCCTGCTGCCCCCTGGAGATTGGATCACGTATCAGCGATCTCCAGTAACCATGACCAGACAAAATGAAAAAAGAAACAATCATACAACCCAACATTTTATCCAACAAAGTAACTGCTGAGATCTTGTTTGAGTGAGGCAACATTGCAAAAACTTTACAAGAAGTAGTATCAATGGGGCAAAAAACAATAAGTACGTCATCATGACCACAAATGTGGCAGTACACCAGTATATATATACCGTGGTGAAACCTGCTAATGGTAAAAACTTAGCCAGCAAGTTCTCTGACTGTCATTACCATAACTACCGTTGTTTTCAGGGGCACTATGGACACAACACAATGCTTCTGCCTTCAGTGTCTGTTTAATTTTTTTAATTGTTTGTATTTTTACCCGTCAAACAGAGGCAGTGTGACCACAGCAGGACAGCAATCTAAGCTTCTTATCTGTTTAGCTCTAGATATTGAGGCGATGTTAACATTAGTTGTTGACCTACTGGAGCATTAGTAGTCTAAGGGTGCTGAAACAAAATGTTGCATGTGTGAGAGAGAGAGAGCATGCATTTTATATGACTGACAAAGAATAAGAGAACCCGTGCTTCACATTCTTCCTTCCAAGTTTGATGTTGGTCCCAACAAATTTGCAACACTGTTCATTTTCCAGTTTGGTATAGTAAAACATCCAAGGCAAACATGGTATGGGGTATTCTTACTATGTTTCAGGTATGTTAATCATGATTTTTTTTGGGCCATAATAATCGCAGCACATTCCAACAGCCAGAACTACACAAATAAAACCCATTTTAATGAGACTCATCAACTACTTGGTGTGAGAGATGTAGTACTATACCCTCATGGTCAATGTCAGCTGCCTCCATCTTGCCCCCTAGCAAGACACTTACATGAAGAGAAAACTTTTATGAGGTGGTATGTTTGATTTTTTTAAAGCATGTAATCCCTTTCAAAATAAGACACACTCACCCTGTTGTGTTTCTGGGAGCGTGACTCTTTGGAAGGTTTGTCCGCTGTCTGTTCATGATGTGTCTTTGGCTGCTGAGGTTTGGGTTTGTCAGTGGATGGAAGAGTCGCCAAACCTGGGTGATAATGTGAAGAAAAAGAACAATGAGGTACTACCATCATAGCAGTACAAATCCACAGTATGTTTGAGTACAAAATTAATGAAAAACAATTTAAAATGAACATTAAGAATAAGCATGTTTATATAATTTAGACAAACTTAAATATGGTCCTGGGATCTCAAAGAGTCAGACCAGGCAATCCATTTATTTGAGAAGAAGTCTTCTGAAGTTTTCACCTAATAAATTCGAGGATCTTGAAGTAAAATTGGAAATTAGTTTTGAAGAACACGTGCACTTAACCATAAAAGACTGAGTGTTGTTTCTTAAATAGTTTGATTATTAATAACATGCACTGATAATTGGGTTGTAACAGTTACAGTGTGTACTAAACAATCATGAAATGGGGGTCACAATTTGTTGCACACAGCCGCACACAGAATACGAGTCCCATCCAGACATTTTTAGCTGTAAGCTGAAGCAACAGGTTTCTGAGGTCAACACTACAAATGGACTGGTGTGCGAGTTGGTCTTAATATGGGAAGCACAGATGACAAGTTGTAGCTGGAAGACTCGCCTACAGGTTTCCGGTAAGCTACAACAGCAATGGAGAAAGAGTTGTGTATAAGATGAGGACAGTGTGTCGGCTTTGCTCCACCATTCTAGGGTCTGTGAATGGAAACACATTCAACATGCTAACGCACATCCAATGGTATTACTCAGATGTGTCGATGACTGGGAAGAGGACAAAAACCAACCGAAACCCAACGCCTTATCCCCACTGCCATTAAGCAGCCTTTAGACGCAAAAAAATTGGGATAAAACAATTACTGAGGCAGTTGGCATTTACGCCTGCATACCGCCATGGTGGAGCTAATTTTCTCCTAATGTACAAGTTTTATTTTTTGTTATTCTATGTATTTTGGTATTTAGACCTGCTGCCTTTGGGAAAGTGTTTGTTCAGTGTTTGTAAAGTGTAATACAGAGGTGACAGAAAAGTTCTTCATTTTTTATCATGAAAATAGCTTCCAAAGTTGTCAGTTGGCAAAATGTTACCTCAGTCCCCAGCAAGAGAATTTTGTCTGTCTGTGACACTTACACTACTGTCTGTTCAAAATAAATGAAAACAAAAAAAACATATCCGGATACATTTGTTCTTTTTCTACTGTGCCGAACTCGCACCAAACTGTGACTAATAAACCGTGGTATGAACGAACTGGGTGTTCTGTGTACTGTTACAACCCTAACTGATGACAGCACTGTTTATATTGTCTGTGGAAAATTAAGTACCAACTGTAGTCCTAAGACTCACTGTAAAGCTGAATCACTGGTCCCTTCCCATAGTGTTTTACCTGAGGACTTGGATCTGCTTGGCTGTTGCCGTAGAGACCTAATGGCAGGGTGTGTCCCACTGCTGCCGCTGCTCTGAGAACAGAGGGAGTCACTGCTCTCTGACTTCACCAGCCTGGATCATTCAGACACACATACAAAGACACAAAAATGGTAACATTACTAACACTTACACACACTAACAAGCAACAACAGTCCAGGTACCACAACCACCCCAACTATCGACTCATCAATGAATCCATCTTTCTAGGGAGCAACATACACCGTCATCATACCTCTTGCGAGGATAACCTCCAATAATGTCCGTGTCCCAGGACCTCCGCTTTAGTCGCGAAACATCAGCGTTTTGCAGAGTCTCTCCATCAGGCACACTTCCTGGTTCTGATATCACAGCAGGGGAGGGGGCGGGGCTGAGAGCAAAGGGTAGGGCACAGGGCTCCTTTGAGCAGGTGGTTTGGGTCTCATACCGAATCAGACGGGACTGGAGTTTCACAAAAGCCTGGTCTCGATCTAAGGAGCGCTGGTTGTCCAGGCAGAACCTACAGGAACAAACATATATGTTTTTAATAATAAGTAAGGAAGTAATGAAGATTAATGTAGCTAGTTACCTTCCGAGCTTCTGCTGATCATAATACATTTTTCACAGCGGGTTGTACATTAAAATATCAGTAACTGTAGCACAACAGTCGCTGTACTGTTTGTACACACTTACTCTATGCCATGGTAATGAGAGGCTGAGGCTTTGTTGAAGGGCATCTGGATGATTCGTCTGGGAGAAAGGTCTGGTGACAACTGAAACACATTATTACTGAGGAGACAGGATGTGGAGGGAAGAGAGAGTCGGGGTGGGTGATGGAAAAAGAAAGAGAGGAGAAATATAAACAATGTGTCCAGAAAAAAAATGTGTTTTTCCTCTTCATTAAACCACAAATACAAATGCTTCTAATTAAAACACACACGGTTTGGCCTGACAGAATTATTAGCACTAACTGATGACTGCTCTGTTCCACAATAATCATTCTTTAAACCCAACTAAAAAAAAGAATCCACAAAAGGTTATAAGCTCACTGTAGCAGGCTAATGATCATAATCAAATCCTCATTATGGTCTCATTAACTGTCATTCAAAACCCTCCTAACACAACAAAGAAACAACTTACCTGATTACAGTATATTTAAGTTCATTTGTAAATCTGTTATTTTTTTCTGTACCGAATCATTTGTCTTGTTTCATGGCCATCTTTGCGTCTGCCACTCTCAGCCTGTGGCCCCGATGCCTGCTTTTAATCTTGTGGCTGCCTCCTCCTACATGTTTGTCCCTTTATGTGTGCCAGTGTGAAGGCCTCCCTCATTACAGTGCATGTATATAAGCTCCAGTCAGTGTTAGGGCTGTCAAAAAAATTTGAAGTTCGAAATATATTCGAATATATATATATTTTATAAGTTCGAACCTAAATTTGATAATTCCAATATCATTAATAATTAATTAATACTATCAATAATGTTGTATATCACGGCGAATCCCATTCGGGCGGAGATGGCTCGCGCACAAGCCGGGCCAGAGAGGGACATAGCGTCGGAGGGAGAGGCGCCGACGGAGGAGCCCGTTGCGCTAACACCACCCACTGCGCTGTCCGTGATGTGTGACCTGTTCGGGGAGACATACAGGGAGAGTGTTGCACCTGCTGCCTCCCTGCCTACCCTTTTTGAAGAAGAAATGAAACGTTACCAGAATGAGACACCACTACGAGCCGACCAGGGTCCACTCTTGTGGTGGAAAACTACGCACTGAAGTATCCAAACATTGCTCAGATAGCGAGGCAGAAGTTGGTCATACATGGCACTTCAGTGAGGTCAGAACGGGTGTTTTCATCCGAGTGTCACGTTCATACCGGCCAGCAATAAGCATCTTATATTTTGTGTTTTTTTGTATAAAAAAAAAAAAATTAAAATAAAATAATGAAAAATATATATATATATATATATATATTAACTTCGAATATTATTCAAACTCTGCTAAATTAATTTGAAAATATTAAAACTCAATTTCATGGTGCTTTTGACAGCCCTAGTCAGTGCTCACTTTGGAAAGTCTAACTCATGGAGCCGGAAAAGATGACTGAACCTACCCTCTATTGATAGCCAGTGGTTGTAGCTCCCCAGTAGGCAGACCATCAGATGTGAAGTGTTTGAGAAGTTCTTTGGCGTCCAGTAACACAGAGGAGTTTTTCTGACTGTCTTTGGGACCGAGGAGACTGTCACCGGAGCTTGGACCTAACAAACCAAATCTAACACACACAAAATTCTCTGTAGATTAAATACAGGTATTTTAAGTACACAGAGTTGTCATATGTCTATTTAAACTTTATCTACCTTCTCTTCTGTCGTTTTTTCTGCAGGTTCTCTATGTTGTGGAGGACGCTCCTCTCAGGCCAGTCGGACTGAAGGTTGGAAATGGTCTGAAATTCTAAAATGACAAAACAACACGGCTTAGCTGGTCAGAGCAGATGTTATGCTGAATATTTTCATCATTGAGTGAATCTTTTCTGACAGTGATGGAAAAATCTGAAGGTCTTGCATCATTTTGACAGATTAGAACACTGAGGGTGACCTAATGTAACTTGCTGGTGGCATGTGGATATTGTATAAAGCTATTGTCTAGTCTTGTTTTATACCTCATGTGCATGTCCTTGTTGTATAGCTAGCTTTAGCCATGGCACTGGTAGGGTGTATAGCTACATACCATTGCAAAATGTCACAACAGCTGAGTGTCTACATTTTTTTTTCTGCATGGTAGGTATCCCTCTTCATCTTTTTCCTTCATACCCCTATAAACAGGAAGTGCTGTGGGCACACCGAAACAATGCTATGCTATCTTTTTTCTCCAAGTGGGGAAATACATTATTCTCAGTTTGCTTACATACATTTTTTAAACACATGAAGATCCAATCATCACTAAAACATGTTATGCAAGAGAGACAATAAAAACAAATGGAATGGACTGAGTTGTCATAGTGACATTTAAGCTGTGTTGATTGATTCACGATGTCAGCATGTGCATTGAATAACATACAAGAAAACATTCCACCTTAAAAGTTGCAGGTATTCACCCATTCTGTTACTCAAGTATTTACCTTTTAATTTTTGTTCCTGCTCTACCCCATGCCATCTCATGTAGCTTGTGCCCCCTACATATATGTCATGTCACTCTCTTACTTACTGGGCACCTATATACCATTACATGAGCACTGAGGTACCTTAACAAATGGCACCACACTCCTGATTATAAATGGACTATTCATAAGCTTGTTCTGTATATTACTTGTTAAGAAATTAAAATAATCAATGAAAATCTAAGTGCTATTAAAAACGTCTCATTACCATAAAAAAGATTATTAATATGACAAGCGATAACAGATTATGATGGAATTTTTACAACCCTGTCTGTCAAAATGATGAACAATGAGAGTCTAATGCAGTCTCTGGGGCAGAGTTGTCATTCCCACTGGTACATGTGGAAGCTCCATTCAAGCAAGAGCCAGCATCTCTCAATGTGGGTCTCATAAAACATCTTCATGTTTTGTTTTTGTTTTCTGCAAAATACGAAAGGTTGAAAAACTGACTTATTGTCTACCTCTTCTTCAAAACCGTATATGTTGATTTCCATTTGAAACAGCAGTCACAGGATGCTTCACACTGTGAAACTATGGATACAAAAGTACACTGTGTCCGTAAATTACCGTACTACTAAATGAGCCTGTAAGTCTGAATAGGAAGATCCTTAGTTCTGTATATAAGGCTTTAGCTGTCTGACATAGACGCCTAGAAATACAAAGCAATAGCTTCAGATGCTTTAATACCGTTTGGCACTGCTTGAACCAAAAGCTGGAGCTCACAGTAGGTGATGTCATACAAGAGGTGGGTGTTATAAATCATTTTAAAATGCTGATGGATTAGCACATACAGCACCTTTAAAGAAACAGAGTTTAGCCCTGCCGGGAAAAATCTGAAAGATATTATTACGGCAACATTATATTTTAGAACAGTAGAGAAACTACCTGGTACGTAGCCACAGGCAACATGGGCACCATGTGCTGCATGATGGATTACAAGAGTTATCCCAACTTTCACTTGAGCCAGGTCAACAAATTGAACTCTCTGCAGACAGATGAAATTTCAACATCCAAAATATCATCACTCTGCACTTTTCTTTGGAGCTGAAGGTTGTATGTTAGGTCAAGGAGGACAGAAATGTGATGAAACTGTGTGCAAAAGATTTACCGACAACATGACAGTGTTTAATGCACAGTAATGCCCCGAGGTTGTAAGCGTGTTATATGAAGAGACTGAAGCACTCTGCCAGTGGTATTAAAGCCCACACATAGTCATTCGCACCTTTAGGCAACACTGAAACACAGATGCAAAAGGCATTCCTGATGGATCGCTGTAGCTGTTTGTTGCTGTAAACAACATTCTCATCTCCAGAGCAGAGGGTGGGCAAAGATTAGGGGAAAAAGCTCCTGTTTTGCACCTTAGACTGTACGTCTCTGCATGTTTACATCCATCATCACTTGTGTTTTTGAAGCTTTCCAGCTCACCTCTTGCAAAATACAAGTATATCCCTTATGTGAGGTCCTGGAGGGATAAATACATGTAAATGGTGCAGATGGTTTATTCCACTACAATGAAACTTGCTGAGGCAATGCCTCAATCTAGTAACATAGATTGAGGCAAGAATTACACAATAAAGATAATGACAGACAACATTGTGCAAAAACTCCAGAAATAATTGGCAAATAATGTCACAACATTTATGACATGAAAACTGCTTGACATGCAGACCTATTAGCCCCACGGCTACGTTTTTTTAAAGCAGCTCCACCCTCACTGTGCACATTTAGCTCTAGCTGCAGGCTAGGACTTGTTTTGTTGCTTACAATTTATTTGCTAATTATTAGCTGGCACTGTTTTTTTTTTTTTGAGGTGTCATGCTATGAATGGAGATGAAGTGAATACTGATGCACTGCTGCATAACAGTTGATGGGAATATCAGAATACATGTTATGGTAAATGGGTGAACATACATCAGTTTTCTTGATTTTCATGTGTGGACAATCTCTTTAGTACTGTTTGCTATGTGTAAACTTTAAAATGGCTGAACAGTCTGAGGCCAAAATAACATCAGTAAATCCCACCATTTAAGTACAAGGAGCTTTATACATGTATACGTATAACTATCATCCAGGCCATGGCTCCCTTTAATCTACTCATATTGCTCAGACAAGGGGATGAGTTGAAAAACCTTTGATAGCCGCATCCTACTGAAGTTGTTGGAGAATTCAAGAAATTCTGACAACAACATTTCCATAAAGAACAAAAAGAAGGGTCAACAAAAAGCCACCACTGCTGGCAGCTCCAATAAATAAAATCCTTTCTTAACACATATAGTATTATCAATTCAGCTGTTTTCAAGGGGCCTATACTTTGTATCTAGTTTCACTTCGCTAATTAACCACCCCAAAAGGGTAGCACAACAATGTAAACTAATTTGGGCTACTTAAATGCTCTGGAAACAAGGCTAGCAACAAGTGCAGCCATCCTAGAGTAATATAACAACCCACACAAGATGGAGTAATGGAGGTTCATCCAGTTCTTGTCATTCTACATGCCTGGTGTGAATGCAGCTTTTTCTAAACCGCCATTAAATTAATGGGGTTTAATGGGGTTTTTAAGTAAAACTGACGGTTTATGGTGTCTGTTTGAACTTTGACACATTCCATAGTAACTTCAGAAAAGTGGCATTTATGCATCACAAAGAAAGTGGTATTTAAGGGTGACAGAGCATTTAATATCACAAGATGGTGTAGGAAAAGGTGGTCTGTGAGTGGTAAATGTTTCACTGTGTCTCCAGACTGACTAAACCGCTGACACATTTCCACTTTGTATACTGTATATTTACCGTAGCTTTGGATGGATGTGAAAATACTTTTTGTCTACCTGAGTTTTTGGCAGCTTTGCTCTCAGGCTCATCCATCACACAGGTGACAGCAGAGGGCAGAGTGGAGTCAATCATCTTCAGATACTGCTCCCTGGCCAGACTCAGAATGACCTTCAAGTCATTGATGGATATCGAGGTTGAGGCTGATGCTTCTTCTTTCTGTCCTGGACACACAAACAGAGTCTGGTTTTCACTTTGGCAACATGCCACATTTAGTTTTTTTGCTTTGTGTGTGTGTGTGTGTGTGTGTGTCTTTGACTGGTGAAGTGATGGTGGAACATATAAAAGCTTTTGGATTGAACTTTTGCTTGAAACTTTTTGAGAAACAGTTATATAACATTAGCAACGTATATAACCTTAGGACCTCAATGCCTTCTTTGTGACCTATGGGTAGGGAGCGACTTGGTGATTTAAGTTTTGAGGAGAAAATATCCTGTTAGTGAACTACAACAAACTCCAAAGATCTATGTGGGGAAACAGGAAGAATCTATTACATTGATAAGGTGAGATAAGGCTCCTCTCTGGTGCATCCCCAGTGTGCGGCTCAGGCTTTAAAACAGCTGTATTTTTATTTAAATCTTATGCAGGCTTTGCTTTCTCAGTAGAAAAGCAAACACTCTCACACTCTCCCTCTGGACATTTTTAAAAGGTGGCCAAGGGGCAAATATATGGAGATGAAATGATACAAGGACATTCTTTAGAGTACAGGTTTATCAAGCTTAAAAGATTGTGCAATTGCAATGCTTTGTGAATTTTAACTTGCATTGTAAAATGTATTAGATCTTAAATATTATTGTCAGTCTTGTGCAGACTGAAGCAGGTGTGACAAGGCAATTTAAAAAAGTTTCACGTTATGGTTGGGAGTTAGAAAACCAGTGAAATTGAAACAGAGAAAAATGCTAAATTATGTCCTTAGCACGCACATGCATTAGTTTGCATACTCATCACACGCATGAGAGACACAGACTGATTACAGCCAATGAGACAACAGAAAGACCTATGATAGTGCATGCACACACACACATTTCACATAATCAGAAAAACTTCCAGTACTTCCAACTTTTGCCACTTATAAGGACATGCCTTTCCCCAATTTACTGCCAAGTCAGAGTATACTGCAATGAATTTCATTAAGGCCTGTGGTCTGTCAGGACTCTTCATTCTGCTCATGGCCTTTTCAAAGAACAACCCTATTGCTTTTCCTGAAGTCTGAAGAATTTTAGTCCACTTCCTTTAATCTGGCTCCACTCCACTGGTGTTTCACTATCTTCGCCTGCCAAGGGGACATTATGTGTGTCTGTAAAATAATGATATTTCAACAGTCTTTCTATGCAGCAGAAAGACTGCGCTCAGGGCTGAGAGTTCAAACTGACGACGGCTCAGGAAGCTCTCAGTGGCCCCAGATAGTTGATACACGCAAACACAAGCACACATTCTTATAGACTGACATTTATATCTCACTTTAAATAAGAAGTCAACACTGAGGATTGTCTTTTATTTTTCTAGCGGCAGGTGACTTAACAAAGCGAACATGTCCGGTCAGTAACTACAGTACACTGTACACGTCTTTACTCATACAATTTTTTTTCCAATTACTGGATTGTACAATTCAAATGTGTTACAATGTACATGTAAGAGCTGCAACTAACTATTGTCATGATTGATTAATATGCCAATCATGTAACTGATTCAGTGTTTTATCAATAAAATGTAAGAAAATAGTAAAAAGAAATGCTCATTGCGATTTCCTTGTCTTGATTTTCGATTTCTGTTCATTATGACATGAAACAGAAAAAAAAAACAGAAGCAAATGTTTAAAATTTTACTTAAAAAATAACTGAAATGATTGATCAATTAAGAAGCCAGGCTTATTTTTTAATTGACTGGGTCAAGACTTTTGAATCTGACTTCAAGTTGCCCGATTCGAAAAGTAACTGCTTGACAAATCTGTCTGATATCAGGCAACTAACTGAACAGTTCACTGATTAATTCTTTTAGTCCTGATATCTTTATCAAATTAGATTAAAGTGTTTTCTAGTTTTTATGGTTTTGAATATAGGAGCCATGAAGCATATGATATGTGTTCTCTCATCAACAACAGTGAAAAATACACAATGGCACATGTAGGGATGAGTATCAATAAGAATTTAACGGGTACTTGAACGGTATTCTTTTCGGTTCTTCTTCTTCTTTTTTTAAGAGAAAAAAAATTAAACAAAATAAGAACATAATTACTATGTCTACATTTTTATCTCTGTCAGCGCAGTACATAAATTAACATTCTGCTACAGCTTCATTTAAAATTTAATTTCAATTTTCTTTATGAAGACCAATATCACAAATCACAATTTGCCTCAGAGGGCTGTACAGCATAGGCATCTCTCTGTCCTTGGATCCTCACAGCAGATAAGGGAAAAACTCCCCAAAAAAAACCCTTTAACAGGGAAAATGATAGAAACCTCAGCAACCTGAATGAATTATTACTATAGACTATGACATAACTGAAGTAGATGTGCTAATGGAAGATGAACTATGAGCTAGGTGGTCGAAAAAAGTGCATTTCTCCGCCTGTATGTGATGCGCTTTTACTAGATGTTTGGAAAGACTGCTTGTGTTTCTGCCCTTGCATGGAAAGGAATTGTTGAACTTGCGGCAACAAGCAGTGTTGACATCAACTCTTGTGAAGTATGACCATACTTCGGAGCATTTTGCACTCTCTGCCATTGTCACTGAGAGCTGGGCCTCTGTGTGTGTGTGTGTGTGTGTGTGTGTGTGTGTGACACTGAGTGGCTGTTTAATACCAGGCACATGAGTGGTTGTACCAGTCTGGATAACATGAGGATGACTGAATGCTGAATGGGACAATTTAAAGAGGGTGAGGGCCAGCAGCCATTAGGGTAAGGAAAGAGTTAATGACATAAGACCAACACATCCTTCTCACATAATCCCTGTCATCATGTAAAAATGTTCAACAAAAATAGTTAAACAATGTTTCTGATGAGAAGACAACAGTTTTTAGACAGGGAAAAAATGTTATGTGTGTCTGTTATGTGAAAAATCTGTTCCCTTAAAACTCCCAAATCCATTTTCTCCATTACTGCTCTGTGAGAGGTCGCTTCCCATCCTGCTTGGGGGCACAAAAGTTTGATTGGCGTGTCTTAGCACACTCTTGGTGCTGTTCCGAGGGCTTGTCTTAGCTATTATCATACATTAGTATGCAAGTGATTAATAATACTCATATATATAATTAATGACTACTTGTATTGCTGCTAGATTATATGCTGCTTGTTGTTTTTCTGCACACTTGATAGCAGTGTGAGTGCTGTTCCTATCTTAACTTTCTTTTATATTGTTTTTAATATCAGGGGCACTGTGTTGTTGGCTTGCACAGTACTATAATAACAATGTAATTTTCTCATCTTATCTTCAAAAGCACAGTGGTAGCACTAAAATACAACAAAAAATGCTGAGAAAATCTGTTTGACTACAGAGTGCGCAACAATTTTCTGTCTACATAATGTTCACATTTGTGATTTGTTTTCCATGTCAGAGACTCTTTAAATGTACTACTTACTGAGATAATCTTTGAGTACCAGTGTCTGGACCTGGGTCACCTTCTTTTCTCTCTTTAGCAGGTCAGCTCCCTGGAGGCAGGGAAGGGGGCAGAGGATGTTGTCTTCAGCTCCTCCTGGTCATGGAGAGAGAAGCAGTGGATGAAAAAAAGGATAATCATTAGATCAATGGACAGATTAGAAACTTAATTGTGTATTGTTTGGTGAGGAACCCGCAGAACATTTTGAGATTTCCCGTGTGGGATCAGGGGCAACAGAGGGTTCATCGATTTTACACAAAAAGGTCAGAGCAATTGATCTGAGTGAGGAAAAACTATCACTCTTGGGTGGATTTACTCTCTTTTTTTAAATTTACTATTCCCCCGTTGAATGCAACTTAAGGTAAAAAAGTTGGGAACCACAGAATTAGTAAACAAGAACAAAAAGACAAACCTAAGATTGCTGTTTCAACAATATTTGGCTGATTAAAGGAGCTGTTAACGACATTTAGAGCATGTCTATTATTCAGAAACTGAGCTGGGATTGTCTGCACACTGCTCTCAACATGGAGGTACTAGCATCGGGGGGACCGGAAGGTGGGCTGGGGGTCGAGGTCAGGACTGTGTTATCAGCAGTAACCGGCGTATGAGTGCAGTCAATTAGCAAGCCAGTGGGACCTAAACAAGGACTAACATGCACTCACATGCACACGCAAGCGGACTGACCGACCACAAGAGAGGCTTGGATTACAACACACAGACCAAAAGTGACTTCATTCTCTGCTCATTAGTCCACTATATCTTAGCGAATAGTTGTTTGCTGCCATATTAAGACGCTAAATATCACATGCGGCTCCTCTAATTAAATTTGTAACCCCTCTCTTGGCGAAGGAGACTTGAAAAATTGCACTAGTACAGGAGGACACAAAGGTATTTTGAGCATTTTCCTGCTTTTTGTTCAGGTGCAACAACCCTCAGGTGTGCATTTTAAGACTTTCATTTTTATTCAAAACTCTGCTGTCATTGCAGCGGTTAGGGCACCTTTTATAGTCTTGCTCTGCATTTAAAAAGTATTTAAAAAAAACAAAAAAAACAAAAGGCTCCTCCTGAAGGTTGCATAAAATGTTAACAGCAGGAACTCTCAGGGGGAAACACCACAGTGGGTCTCTTGAATATCATATAAAGCCCAAGAACAATGAAGGTCTTTCATCAGAAAAGAAGCTTTAAGTTTAGAGAACAAAACAAACAACAGTATGAGATTCGCATGTCTGTCCTTCTAGTCAGCTATAACCAGACAAGTGTTTTGTTCAATCATCCATCCAGTTCGTTCTTCGTCCATCTATACACTCCATTCCTCCTCATCACCTTCCATTCTTATTTCGTCAACCCATCGGCCTCTTCAATACCCTTTCTCACTCCTCTCCTTTTTGACTGATTGTTCTTATTTTGGTGGAAAAAAAAGATGAGGAAATCCTTAAAGAGAACAGTCACAACTTTACAGTGCTGTGAGAAAGGAGGGGGGAAGGAGGAAAAACAGTACAGATAATACAGGCTAGCCTAATGAACAGTGACAACCCTTTCATTCTGTTATTCTGTCAGTTGAAGCCAGAGGAGTGTCTACTTCAATCAAGCTGAGGAGATGCTTTAAAAAAAAAAAAAAAAAAGAACAGACACTTGGAAGGCTGTTCTTTACAATATAGCACAGAGACAAATTACTGCTAAATGTTCCCAAATCAGAGGGGGTGAGGGGTGGGTGAAAGGGTCAGGTGCATGCTGGTGTTCTTAAAAACGGATAGTTAGTTGTAGTTGTTCGCAGATATGGCCAGCTCACCAACGTGGTCAGCAATTGGAGCTGCAGCAGTGGTGGGGACATGCAGTTCAGGGTGGTAATTAAGGTAGTTTAAAACCCTTAGCATCAAAATTTGCACTCCTTTATCTCTGACTCATAAATGAACAAACGGACATGATTCACATTTTTTTACATTCAGTGAGACTAACACTATCCGAGGACATCATTATCTATGATTATGTTTATTGCAAATAAACGTCCCTAACTCACTTTGAAATCATAGGAGAAAAACTGTCACTTTCTTGAGATTCATCACTTCCAAGTTTTCTTCAGTATCAAAGCCAGTGATAGTTGTCTGAATGTCCATGGGCACACTGCAAACAAAGGCTGTTAACAGCTAATTCGGCACACTTTTACTTTTTCATGTTGCACTGTTCATGTTTATTTGACATTACTGAGGATGGATGGGGAATAGTGATTAATTTTATCTGAGGGAGGCCCCACAGTATCAGACCTTGACAACCCCTGCAGTACAACTACGGGTGAAAAGAAATCTGATCGTGTTAGATGAGGCTGTTTTCGTCTATCTCTGTCTCGGTCCAAGATGCTGTGATACAAGGTTTAAGCCAATGAAGGTGACAGCGACACATTCACAGTAACACACACAGAAATACACACACTTGTACTCATGAACATGACAACATAATATACCCGATGATGACAGAGACTTCTCTCTCAGCAACCCCGAGACGGTTGCCATGGCAGCCGCGCCATTGATCTGACTGCCTGAGTGCAACATCCTGACCCGGCAGCCTCCACACCCAACATCATCTGAGCCCTGGACCAGCAGGAGGTAGTGTGCACTCTCACCTTTCAACTCTACGTCAGGCACTGCAGGGTATACACAGAGGAAGAGAGATTACACCAAGAGTTAATCCACCACAGAAGAAGAATTTCACTTAATTAAAATTGTAAAGTTTTAATATCGGCTCCACTCTCAGTATGATTTTTTTCATCTTACTGTGTCCTATGCTTTGTTGCTGCAGTGACATTTTAAATGTTTTATTTATAAATATTTAATCCATACAATTCTACTTAACATATCTTACCCAAGCGCGGCTAAGTGTATTGTATCTCTAATCCCTGCTGTCCAATTCATATTTTTTTTTGTTTACCACTTGCTGCAGCAATCCAATTTCCCAAAGGGTACGGTTGTATCAGTTATATCGTGTCTCATGAATTTTGTTTCTGATTTTTTCAGGCAGTGTTTTCTAATTTGATTCGGTCCCACTTTCGAGTGTGCTTCCCCAACAGAGGGCTTTATTATCTATATCAGTGTAGTCGTAGTTACCAATTTATTTCCCTGTGGAAGGTGATATGGCTTCTCTCTATTCTTGCCAAATGGTCATCCATTTAACAAAGCAATGAAAAGGGTTTGAAAAAGCAGTCTTACCGGGTAATGACTTTGGTCTCCTTGCTATAGACTCTCTCCAGCGCTGGGAGCTGAGTTGGCTGGCTGCAGGCTGAACGAGGGGGGTGATTATACAGGACAGGCTGAACAATGCTCCAACCTAGGAGCCAGAAACACAGTTGATAAACATATACAATCACACAGTCCCTTACTCCCATGAATTAAATAAAAGATTAATTTTATATGCATCATATTCTGTATGTGTTATTTACATGTACACACATTTAACTGTGGACTACAGTAAACAAGTGGAAATCTAAGTTTGCATACAATCATTAATTTATTTACTTCATTAGAGATAATAAAGTTCCATGGCTGACATTTTTCAATATTTGTACAAATAAGAGCAAGGTTAAGGGGCTGATACCTTTCCACGCAGTGACCGCAGCTGGTCCAACAGAAGCTGAGCTTTCATTGACTTCCCAGACAGGCTTCTGGTTTGTTGGTGGTGAAGGAATAATATAATATTGGGGGGAAGGGGTTACCAATCATGTACTTTCAAGTGTATTCAAATCTGAATGTATGAATAAAGAATTAAGGTTGTTTTATTATTGTGTCTCAAATAGTATGCATCTAGATTAGTGGGTCCACTTAAATGTGGACAGAGATATGACAATATATTGTTTTCCAAGAAACACACACACACACACACACACACACACACGCACACACACACATACACACACACACACACACACACACACACACACACACTTCAGATGAGGATACAATTCAAACTGGGTTGCAGACATCAGGAAGCTGGGCAGGTTCGACAGGTTAACCAGCTGAACCAAATCTAAATCTGGTGCGTAGTAATGAAAGACCTGCAAACACAGAACAGACAGACAGACAGACGTAAATGAACAAGCGAACGCATGAAAGACACAAAGAAAAACAGAAAAGGATGAATAAAAAACACCAGGGTTATCACACAGGAAAGCATCTGAAAAGAAGAAAAAAAAAATCCCAGTGGTTTGTGAGGCAGCAGCTTCAGGAGTTGGAGACCATCCAGCAGTTCAAAGACTAACATACAACTGAAGTGTCTTTGAGCAAGATACTGAACTGTAACCAGTTCAGAAGTGATGTTAGATAACTGACCCTGAAATCTGATCTTCCTTGGTTCCAAATCTGGATTTGGACTTCCAATGCAAATGTCAAGAAAACAATATTGAGGTGCAGACGAGTCCAAGTGTGTGTGCAGAAAAGAAGGAGAGGAAGACAAAAAAATAAAACAGAGACACCCACTGAGAACCCACTATATATTCTGAAGAAAATTTCAAACTCAACAATTTTGTTTTTGGTTGCAAATTCGTTAAAATCAGTGTGAGCAATTCTCTTTCCTCAAGTTAATCCGTCCACCTAACAGTTGTGGCAAATCAAGATGCTGATTGAACAGCATCATTACTACACAGCTGTGCCCTGGGATGTAAATTGACCTGACAGCAGTTCGTCATCGTAACCATCTTGCGAGATTGTGAGGCCGTTTGGATGTACTGCCAAATTAACGACATAACGTTGGAGATGTCTTATGCTAGTGAAATGAACATTAAGTTCACAGGTATCAGCTCTGGTGGACACTGCAGTCAGCATGCCAATGGCACGCTCCCTCAAAACTTGGGACATCTGTTGCATTTTGTTGTGTGATCAAACTACATATTTAAGAGTCACCTATAATTTTGACCAGCTCAAGGAACACTGTGTAATAATGCTGCTGTTTAATCAGCATCTTGATATGCCACAGCTGTCAGGTGGATGGATCATCTTGACAAATTAGTCCTCATTAACATTGATTTTAAAAAAAAAATGTGGCCAGAATTTGAAAATATATATTTTGGGTGCACAAAAAAGTTTTAGATCTTGAAAAATGGGAGTATAAAAAAGTTTTGCAGTTAAATTTTTGTTCAGTGTAATTACTTTAATGCCAGAGCTGTAACACTTATTTTCATTATCAATTAATGAATTAATTGTTTTCTTTCTTTTGTGAATAATTGTTTGGTTGATGAAATAACATAAAAAAGAGATACAAATGATCACACGTTCCAACATCTAAAAAGGTGGCATCTTCAAATGTTTTGTTTTGCCCAAACTACAGAGCAAAATACAAAGATAATCAATTAACAATGATATTAAATTAAACAGAAAAAAAAACAAGCCAGCGAGCCAGTAATTTTCTTTTAAAAAAGTCACCATTTGTAAGGAAAAAAATGTTGCTAATTAACTCTCTGTTGACCAACTAAATTATGAATGCACTTATCTCTTCAGCATTACTACACACCATAAACACCATCTTCTGGTTCCTGTCAGGAGCCAATCAGGTACTTAACACACTGAAGCTCGCATAAAAAAAAGATCTACATTTCAACAGTCTACAGTTGTCCCATTTATCTAATGAGCTCATTATGTTACAAGGAAATCAATAATATATAAATCATTTGTCACATGGAAAAAGAGGCCATCTGCATATACAGAACATTACAAGAATACCAAGGAAAGCCTGAAATCTCAATCTCATAATTTATTAATCTAAAAAGAAAAATGAAGTGCTGACCTATTTCTGATAGACTCTTATAGATTAAGAGGAGATGAAGATTTTAATGAACCCGGGTCAAACTCCCAGTTTTGCCAGCAAGTCGGCAAAGTTTATTACTTCCTTGTTGAACTGACAGAAAAAAAATCTCCAATATTTAATTGTCCTCATTACTTGGAATCATCCTTCATAATGGTTTAAAACTGCATATGCCTGTGGTTAAAATGCTTTTGTGATGGCAACATGACTCTTGGTGATTCATCATGTAATCTGCAAAATTACTTTCTTCTGATTGCTGTTGTGAGTTGATTTTGCAGGAAGATTACATATTATCCTCATTCTTATATGCATAGTTTGCTGTAATCTTGTCCTATGTCCTTTCCCTGTGAACAGTCGAGCAGTGTTTAACATTAAGTGCTGTAAGTGCATGAGCAGCCCATTGTTGTGTTACATTCTGTAACAGGTGTGCGGATGCAACACACTGCTTTAAAGGTACAGAAGCCTTTAACGACCAACACTGGCTCTACTTCCAAAAATACAACAGGAATGTTATATATTAACAGTACATGCCTACTTTACATTAGTTGTGTTTAGGGTTGTTAAAAGTATCAATACTCTGAAAAGTATCGATACTCAAATGCTGTATTCAGATACAATACTAATTTACAAAAGTATCGATACTAACAGTGCACGCCACCTCAGCGCCTGTCGGGTGCGCACGACGAGTCCGACGGACACGCGCTGTGCAGGCAGCGTCTGGCAGGCACAGAGGCCTCGCTGCAACCCGGCTTGTTGTCGTCGCTGTGCATGCATGCACACATTTCTGTTGCTGTAATATGGCCAACGAGGCTGCAGGAGGATCAGAGCAGCCAGTTTTGGTCAAAAATGATAAAGGAAAAAGCACTCTTTGGAAATATTTAGTGAAGTGAACACAGCACGCTGCAGACAGCAGGTACAGCCCCTCCCCTCACTAGCAGCTGAGCAGCTGGTGTCGCCAGCATCAAACTAGAATATAACTTCTAACGTTTATGTGGGAGCTAAGCAGAAAACTTTATCAGTCATCCCCGTCTGTAACATTAATATACAATGTTAGTTCAACAGGACAACATAATTATGTGTGTCTGAAAAGTTATGTTAACTGCAAAGTCACAGATTGAAGCTGAAAAAACGTTTGGTTTCTCCCGTAACCCCTGGTTCTCTGATCACATAGTGAGGTAGAAACAGGAGCATCCTGAGCCTAAACTACCAACTCTATTTGATCAGCAACAAAAATATGGAGCCAATTCACCAGAAGCACAAAAAATAAACAGGGCTGTAGATAAATACTTTTGTATGGACAGATCTTGTTTCTGGTTGGTATTTATTTTGGAGGGATTTTTTGTTGTTATCATTGATGTTATTGTTCTGATCTTTATTTAAAAAATGACATGCCTCTTAATTTTTTGCTGCTGTATCAAAAATGGTATCGAGTATTGAATATTTTCCTGGGTATCGATATCGAGTTTGAAATTTTAGTATTGTGACAACCCTAGTTGTGTTACACTGTAATGTCAGCCATCAAATAATTAAAATCACAAATTGTGTCCTTTTTTTTGTGAAAGGCAGAGGAAATATTAATAAACTGTCTACAGTGAACCCTCCACACATTACCCATAAACAAGTACCACTGTTGTGATGTTGCTGAGAAAATAACAGATGACATCCCAGTTTTGACCGACTAATGCACAACTTACACTGCATCTTGAGTGGCTTAGGAGTAGCCTGGCATCTCCAGACCAATTTGCAACTGCAAATTAATCTGTAACCTCTCAGTTCATTTTTGATTTCCAAAGGGCGTTACCAGCTGCTGTCTGAACCAAACTGGATAGACACACAACCAGTCAGAGCAACAAAACATGGTTTTCTCTGTGCCCCATCTGTTTGGCGACCAGCAGGGCCAGTTGGTTAAACTTTTCCAAACGCTGTCAGATGTACGCCAAACACGTCTTTCTCATCAACAACCGCTTTGAAGTGAAAATTTGTGTGCAGTGTGTGCAGATGCAGTGTTTGGCTTCCCTCTGTGTTGCCAGCGCCTGGAGCTCAACCCGGGATTCTGAGTCTTGCTTATTTACATGCCCTGCCCAGTGCCCAAACTGTAATGACGCAGAGCTGTTTAAAAAAAATCATCAAAGTTTCCATTCAAGTGTAATTCAGGGTTGGGTACCCAGCTACGACTACTTTTTAAGGGTAACAACCAAATTCCATTGGTATCACTGAGCACCAATTCACAATAAATTAATTACTGCCACATGTAAGTGCCTGAGAGCGCATCTGGGAGAGGGCGCTGGGTTTAGTCAATAGGCGAAAGTGCCATGAAGCACTCCAAAGCATGGAAGCCATTCTCTGAGCTCCGCAAAGTTTAACTTCAGCCAGGAACCCTGCAAGAGAGCTCTGCAGCCCCTGCGTCGGCTTCCCACAAACTATCACTGTAACGCCGATCTGCTGCAAAAGTTTCAGAGACTGGTCTATTTTCTTTTCTATACTACTTTAGTAATAGACCAGTATCACTGCTAGATGAGCAGACACACATACACACACACTCAAACACACAGACAGACAGAGACAGAAGATTAGCTCAATTAGTAAAGAGCTGTGCTTAAGTCTACTATGTTACCCCTGCTGCTTGTTCAAAAATTACATTTTGTTTATACCGAAAAAGTAAAGCATCTAAAAAAGGTATTACTGGGTACCAGTACTAAATTACAGCTACTGGTACTGGTGTTGGTTCAAATGTGAACGATAACCAAACATATGTACTCGTTTGTTCTTTGCTAGAGGAAATATATTGTTATATACTGTAATATACAGTTTCTTTTATACTAATGCAACAAACATTCCACATCTGTGGCAGCTATCTTGGTTGTTAATGAAAATGGCACTTTGGTCAGTCATCGTATACAACCCGCCCCATATCACAGTTGAGATTGGCCCATAGTGAGCCAGGTCAGCAGAAAATCTGTTTGACCAGTAGAGGGGACCGGAGTGGAGGAAGTGTGAAAGTTTAAAAGTCTGAATGCATATTTTTTTGGCCAGCAGACTATTTTAATCCTAAAAGAAAATGAAATGTAAAGACCTTTCCCTTCTTTGACAAACAGGGTCGAGGCACTCTTAAAAAGGACACTTGAGAGAGGCTAAATGTCACCGTTTAAATATGCTGTAGGGCAGCTGGATCTATGCAGGAGAACATTCACCACTAATAAAAAGCTTTTCTGAAAAACAGCTCTCTGAAGAATCATATTGGAAGAAGAAAAAGGTTACTGTGACAAGATTCAGAGGAATTTCATCAATATGTTTTGAAAATGTCTCAAATGTGTGTATAGTTACTTTTATAGCAACATTTTCTTTACTGTACATTTTCTTTACCACATATTTTAGCTTTGTAACCATTAGCATCATTGTAAAATAAAGACCTGTAACACAGATATACCTATTCTTTCAGTATCTCTGGTTGTTTTAGGCTACTGTGGGCAGTGCTGAAAAATCAATTAGCCGGGCTGTGCCATAATAATATTGACCTGCAGGATTTTTGCATCAAGTATCCGCTACATGAGCTATAAACACTGATTCACATCTCAATATTTTGTCTATAAACAGCATGTTTACTGAATTTATTATATCATCGATATCATAGCATAAAAAATAAACAAACCACAAGTGAACATATTATGCATTAGCCTGCGGGTTATATTTTATAAGTCACATACCAAACACTTCAGGTTTGGTGCTCACACAATACAGTGTGGCCACCCTGCCCGCTGAGGCTGAGCGTCTGTGTGTGTTAGTAATTATCACGACAGTTACTCCTGACAGTGAGGAGGCCTAATAGTTTTTTGTCTCATCGCAGTTTAGATTTTACAGTCAGTTATCCCAGCAGAGTGGAGATGTGATAGTTCTGTTGTCCTCTGAGAATTTTTTTTTATTGTGTGCCAAGACAATCACCGACATCTGCTTCTCTGTACACAGATCTGATGAGATCAGATCACACACACACACACACAGACACACACCGTCTCACTCTCCATAGACATGTAAATGAGCAGCATGCACAAACATACACACCTTAACTATGGCACTCTGCTGTGTTAACTGAATAATGAGCACACACAACAACAACAAACACATACTATGTGTTGCCAGACACAAACTCACAAAGCAGATAATAGTTAAACACAACACACATATTAAACAATATAAAACTTACAAGAGCTCATAATTCTTTTCAGTATTTATTATGTAGAACAGACATCCTTTCAACCACTTGTCTTTAATGCATTAATACTAATAAAGGCTGTGTGTTAGTGAGTGAGTGTGTGTGTGTGCGTGTGTGTGTGTGTGTGCGCGCGCGCACACACACTAAAGACCTCATATCAGGCCATAACTTCTTGGGCACAGCCTCTGTGTAGTTTTATTGTTATAGATGTTAATCTACATAAGAAAACTCATTACAAAACCTTATACCAACTGTTATAAAAGACCTTGTCTCACACTGAGTGAATTTTTTTATGCAACAGCAGTGCACACAACCACCACCCCCAACACATAAACACACAACATATTCTCCATAGAAAAGTACTCAGATTCTAGCGTATTACACGATACAACAGTTAGCTGTGGGTTTTATAACTTCTACTAAGGTAAAAAAAAAAAAAAAAAAAACAACTCGATTTTATGAATTTGTTATTCATCTCTGAGTTTGCGGCTGCTGCAGTGGCAAAATAAAAAAAAATGTGTAACTGAGTTATCACCAAGACAAACATTCATCAAATTAAAAAATAAACATCCAACATTATCTGACAACTAACTATATGTCACAATATTTATAATGTTTACAGCTTAAATGATTAGTTGACTGATGAAGCTCCGGCGAAAGTTCAGTCAGGAAGACAATACTTTTCATGCTTAGGCTGTAACTTTCTTCCTCACCCTGCTATTCACTCATTGTACACATGCTCACTCTCTATCTCTGGCTGTCAGTGTTTGGGGCTGTCATCAGCTGTTCTACAGCTGATCCACAATCAACCAACAGCACAGCGACACACCTTCTCCGTCAGCCTATCGTCTTACTGCTCCTCATTTTAAATATGGCTTATTTTCTGCCTGCAGTCCTTTCATGCTGCTGCCGTGCTTACCCTCCACCTCCCCATCACCACCTAGTCTTCTCGGATGCAGCCTCATTTCGCCTTTTATTTATCAAAATTTATCAATTTTGATAAATTTAATAAGTGCAACTGTAGCTGCACGCTGAACAATATTTAAAGTTTACACGTATTTGAAAAGGTATGACTTTGTGGACTTTACTAAGACCAATATATCTTAAGCACAACAGTCACATGTAGAACCAAGCCAAAGTATTTTTGAGTTGTGTGCTCACTGGGATAAACTGAAATTAAGAGAACTGAAACATAAAAGTGTAAAGAAATACATACTGTACACAGTGACAACGTCTGACAATGCCAAAGTTTTTGAATGAATAAAAGCCTAAAGGATCAGTTTTGACATAAGGTCATATGAAATACTATCAACAGTGCTGATACTTGGGACATTAACTGAGGCTACATTTTGGCTGGATAGAGATATCACAGCAAGCTGACAGCTCACTCTTGTTTCTCAGTACTAGCCTGTTTAATACCACCTCAAGACAAATAATTCTGAACCACTCCATTAAAAAATGTGGCATACAAAATCTGACAAAAAAGGACAAGATGATAACTGAATAGTGAAAGATGCAACTTGGCAAAAAAGTTAATTCCAAATGAGGGTGAGGTTTGCCCTACAAAGTATGAACACTCTGGTGAAAGATGGATGAACAAAAATGGGCACAAAGTATTAGTAAGCAACATATGACTGCAGCAGACAGATTCCCCTCTGTAAACACTTTGGCACTGGCTCTCTGAGATGACAAATCTTTATTCAAATACTTTTTTCTGGCTACAAAGTCACCAGAGGTACAAGAGGTCTGCGCTCATTTGGCAGATAAAATGCATTTGATTTATCTGGCTGCTTGTCCTTCAGTCACAGGTTCCTCAATGTGATTAAAGTTCAACCAGGAAGTGACCCTTTTGATCTCATCTCCTTCTGGCCCTCAGAAATCATTAGGAGATGGAACTGTGTGTGGCTCATTCAACGCTTTAGCTTGGAGGTAAGACGTGAGTTGAACTGGGGTTAAAGGAACAGTTCTCCCCTAAATGTAAATTCAGTCATTATCTACTCAACATCCTGTCAATCAAAATCTTCCTTATAGCTTGTAGGAATATGGAAAAACAGACTTATACCCTTTTTCCCTGGCTTAGTTTGGTTTGGTTTGACTTGGCCCGTCAACAGAACGCGGCAGGGATTTGCATCTCCATTACAACAGGGCAACCAGCTTGGAGGTGTGTCTTTAATTGACGGCTTGGCTTGAATGATGACATTTAAAAGCAGCAGGTTGATCCACAGCCAAACTCCCCCATTATTTAGGGGGTCGGGTAGTCAGGGGTTGGCTGCTGTCGGTGAGACGTCACCGCTACCATCTTAGAGGCAGTCAGGTGTGCTTTTGGCCCTGCTCCAGAGATAGTCCATCTCTGGTGTGGCTCAACATGTCTAAACTGGTAATGGAAAGACAAATCGGCGTGGCATGGTTTGTCTCGGCACGGCCCAAATAAATGAAAAAAGGGTAATAATGTCATCATAAGCCCTATCCACACAGGACTAGTATTACAAGGGGGCCTCATGTGATCTAGAATTTACCCCCGACGTCTGTGTTTCGTGCAGCACATTCACGCAAGATAAGTGAAGTCTGTATTTTACTAGAATTAACTCCACTCCACAGAAACCCCACACAGCACCACAAGCAGTGATGAACAGCATCAACCTCCTTCTTCTCTTTTTCTTTTATTCTAATGTAGTTGAAACAAACAGAACTGACTCTGCCTCACATGGTCACATCATCCACCTTATGATTTTTTTAGGATTTCACTCTTCTAATGGATTTAAACTTCCTCTTTCTATGACTGGGTCTCCATGTCGCATAGCAGGATGAGCTTCCTGCACCAAAAATGATGTAAAAACTTTCATTTGTAATAGCTGACTTTGCATCAATACTAGAACCAGAGAAGAGGCTTAAATGCAACCCCAAATCACAGGGATGCCAATTTGCACAAGACATGATCTCATGATCTCTGTGTTTGGCAAAATATGATAGGTAATTTGCAGAGGAGTTTTTTTATTGACAAATTACGGACATGGCAGATTCACACGGGATTAAGATCATAGACGACCTCCACAATAACTACAAATTACTAAAGGTCCCCAGGTAATACTAGTCCCATGCGAACAGGGCTATATTCTTCATTCAAGATACAGTGATTAATAACTTCAAACACATTACATTTCTCTTAACAAGATTTCCTCACTGACAACATTTGGATCGAGTGCAGGAGCTACAGCACGCTGGCAGAAGACTGCTTGCTACTGTAGGGCAACTGCTGGCACGCTGGAGATCAAATCTTTCCTCACAGAGGAACAAACAAGAAATAATGATGTGAAAAATTTGACTTTTGGAACCACAATACAATTGTCTGGCAATAAAACCCATAAATCCTACCTGAGGTGCTTGAAAAAGTTGAGATGTAGTTATGACAAAGCCCGATTTCAGACCTCTGAATTGCTGCCCACATCTCTGATTTATTCAATGATTCATATAGGTCTGTTGTTGTGCCCACTGCGTTGGAGAAACATTCAACCTAACAGTCATCTTCTTCGTTCATACTGGAGCTAGCTAGCTTCTAAGCTACAAACATGAAAAACGGCAGTGAAAAATGTGGATGAGTTGGATGCAGCTATATGGGTTGTAATAAGTGGACTTCCAGAAATAATAACTCTTTAACCACCATATTTCTTTGATCATTGTGCAAAATTTCCACAAAGCTACCTTTTAAAGTTTTCTTGTAAACAAAAATAAAAAGTTTTTTTTTTTTTACATTCACAGTTTCTCCCCAAAACATATTGTGTGTATCCTTGAGGTCTATGCTATTCCCTTCTCATAATATGTTAAATTTTAATGAATATGTCAAAGGTTGAAAGTAAAGAGTGGTAATAAGGAGCTTGGCACTCACCTCAGATTGTAGTTTGTGGTCTGTAGTGGTGTAGGGAGCTTGCAAGAGACTAGTCCCAGATATGTGATGCTCTGGAGAGCGCAGAGAAAAGCCATCAAAACGGAGCTCCGACACATACTGATGAGAAGAGAGAAAAGGTCACACAGGGGTGAGTTATTTCATTCTTTGATAAACACTGTTTATCATGCAGCTGTCACGTGTTTTCTTCACATGGCTGTGTAGTTAACAGTACACGTGCGCATACACACATATTAGTTGTTATGTTATGCATTACACAGCCATAAAGTGGTGGTGGTTGTTCTGAGACAGGCTTTTATCCCTTTGGGAATTCTCCTTTGTTCCACTGCTCTCCAACTGTGAAGCTCTCACAGACTGACTGCTGGGGCCCACTCACTTCTGAAGGCAGCAACTTAGAAAAGGTCACTTTCATGAAGGAGAAGCTGCTTGCTGCCTCAGAATACTCACAGCTCGGGACACAGCAGAGATGACTGGAGAAAACTTTTGTCAAGCATACAATGGCCTCCCCAGTTGACTAGGACAAAAATGTAACTGGCCTGCAACTTAACTTAAAATGCTGAGTTTAGTGCATGTTCTGCTGCTCGCAAATGGACAGAAATATCAATATATAATATTAATACCCTGATTTCAGGGTAGAACACAAAAACACACAAACAGCACTTGATCACTGAACTACAAAAAAAATATTTCATTGGGAAATTTCAACCAAGAAATAAGTCCTTATGGCACATGTAATGTAGCACCCATAGAATTTGAATATTGTTGTACTGGAAATTAGGTATTATAAATTATTTTTAGGACATTTAAACTTATTGATAGCTTTGTGACTCAGACATACTCTTATCTAATGTCAATCACCAACAGTCCAGCGCTACTGAAAGTAGAACAATCTGACCCTATGTGACAGGCTTACAGATACAGTATGCTTGCAAGATGTCAAAAAGTCAAGCGTCTGAAAAGTTTTAGAATTTGAGAAGATGACAGATGGGTGAAAGGAAGCTAGCATATCACAAATCCACAATGAGCAAATCTCCTGAAAACTGTAAGCTGTAACTGTATTCTAGCGATCATGGCTAATGTTACTGCGACCTGCATGCTAACAAAGTGGCTAACTGCTTAAATTAAGAATCTTCAATCAATAGGCCTCAACTGATCGCAGATATTTCTTTGATGCCCAAGCACTGACATGAATATCGACAGCACATAAGACATTAAAAATTCAGAAATTTTCAATTTAAAATAGAAAACTCAGATCACATGTGGCCTCTGCTACAGCAATACGTCAGTTTCATGAACCTCTGCGACCTTATTTACACTAAAAAACATAAAAAAAGTCTGCGTCAAACAAAAACCCTAGAATTATTATTACAATTTTATGGAAATGTTGCTTCAATGTCAAGTCTCTCGGGCCTAAAACCCTTTGAAAACATATTGGGTTATGTTAAACATGAAATAAAAAATACCAGACCTTGACCTGACAGTGTCAATATGCCTGGCCTCTTTTTTACATTTTTGCAAAAATGCATTAATTAACATAAAGATGGTACTTTTGAGCTGTTTCAAGACACCTCAGTTGTATATTTTCATAGACAAGCTGATCAATGTTTGAAATTAGCATAAAGTAGCAACTGAAAATCTCAGGCTGGTTAAAAAACACCAACAGTATGAGACATTAAAGAAAATGCCACAGTGAAACAGATTGCTTATTCTCCCCAGAGAAACGTGGAAGAATAGCAGAAAATTGGCTAATTCTGCCAATTTTCTGCCAAAAGTACTGCACCTGCCAGACTTTCCGCTTAATGAGAAAGAAATACAAGTGGGCATGAAGCAATCTCCAGAGTAGCAACAAAAAATGCTGTCAACTCACCTCAGCCTATTCACTTTGACACTAAGGGGCCGTGTGAAAACTTATTAGAGGAAAGCAGGGAATAAAGTGCACTACGTGGTCCAAAGTGTGCAGACATCCAGACATCTCATTCCAAAACAATGGGCATATGCTGCTACAACAGACAAAACTATTCTGGCAGCAATTTGGAGCATGGCTGCAGAAATTCATTCCCATTCAGCCTCAATGGTATAACTGAAGCATTCCAGTTCTTCCCAGGAGTGTTGGAGGGTCAGGGCTCAGTACAGGCCTTTCAAGGCTTTCGGTTTAGTACGCTTTATAAACCGAAGGATTAGCAGAACTCTCCTATGACATGTGGAAAATAAAATATACAGCTGAAACTGACTTTAATATATTGTTCTCAGAGCCACTGCGCTCATCAAGGCAGCCCACACGAAGGACCAGGCAACGTGCAGTTTGCCCCTCTCACCCTCAAACAATAATGCTCTACCCATTCTGCCCACCTGAAAAATCCTGGACACAGAAGGAGGGAAAAACAGTTTAACAGTCTAACTCCACAATTCAGTACTAAACAGTTCCCAGTCATTTCACATGTTTTATACATACTTTTACAAGTATCATATGTATTTATGGTATTTAAAGGTATTTATATAAAATGTGTTCAGAAAGAAATCAGTGATTTTGCCTTACCTGGACTTAAACAAGACCATTTTAGCCAGATCACATTTCTGCTTTGTACAAATACATACACACACACACACATACATATATATATATATATATATATATATATATATATATATATATAAATTAAGAATTCAAAAAAAATATTATGATTTTTTTTTTTAAAAAAAAGGCCAAAATTGTTTGATACATATAATTTTTAAATCTATCCATCCATCTACCATCTATCTATCTACCATCTATCTACCCACCCATCTTTCTAAGAATCTACCCATCTACCTATCTACCTATCTATCTACCTACCATCTATCTATCTACTCATCTGTCTACCCACCCACCCATCTAAGAATCTACCCACCCATCTATCTACCCATCTACCTATCTATCTATCCACCCATCTATCCATCTACGTACCTATCTACCAATCTACCCATCTATCTATCTATCTATCTATCTATACATACATACATTTTTTTCACAAAGAGAAAAAAAAAGTGATTACTTTATATGTTCAATGAATACTGACACCCAAATCAAGTACTTGAGTACTCATGCCTTTTACACTTTTAGAAAATAAGCGTGCTGTACCTGCACATCAGCCACAGGCCATTCGAATGCTTTCACAACAGACTGAGAAGAGCATCCACAAAGTTGGAATCACACTGTTCTCTAAAACAGTGATTTTCAACAACCAGCTGCAAAGATGTTATCCGGACAACTGATCATCCAATTACCAACGGTGCATGTAAATGCTCAGTTAATTTGGCGGCCTCTCTTCATTTTTGCTGAGCACTGAGTATCCACCCTCAGGCTATCAGCAATGAAAGCCTTACTGCTCCTCCAGACCACAAACTTCGATATCTCTACTTCATTTCTCCACTCTGTAGGCCACCAACAAAAAGAGATTGAAGAAAACAGAAACAAGTCACACCCTCTATCTGTTTCTGATATCGATCATTCACACTTGGAAGGATTAGCTGTAAATATGCCCACATTTCTTATTGAGTGGCGAGTTCACACGTCTCTCCTTCTAGCCATATACAGCATGTGCACTCATTCTCTCTGTCTTACTTACTCCAACACTCTCTTTCTCTCTCAATCAATGCTGTTGGTGTAACAGCACAAAAACGCTGAGCTAGCAAAGGGATCAGCTTACTTTTTAGGCAGAATTAAATGAATAAACTAATCTTTAACTTTAACTTACTGTATTGATTTATCTTTTAATTTTGGCTGAATGTTCTTGTTTGTTAGAGTCCACCCACAGTCAGAAATGTTTTTTCTTTTTGTTAATTCACTGTGATGTCATCATCACTGTCCAGAATGATGTATGTTAGAGTTTGTTTTCACATTCATCATCTTAAATCTCTGAAAACATGGTGTGGAAACTTCTAAATACACTGACAATTGACATGTTGTGCCCAACATATTTGCATAATGATGAATGTGAACAATGCAGTAAATCCATACATCAGGACAGAACATTTTATTCAAAGCAGATTCTTTTTCTATGTTTGAAAATATGTCTGGAGAGAATCTTTTGAAGTAGAGTCTACTCCAGCCTTCATTCCCACCCACCCCACCGCTCCATGAGACCACTATGTGCCAGCTTGAGGTACACACATCCAAAGATGCAGAGAATCCCTGGTCTAAAATACCTTTGTATGCTGTAGCATGATGATTTACCTTAATTGGAAGTACAGAGTCCAGCCCAAGTCACATCAAACATAGAGGAAAAGCCTGTGGACACGGGTGGTTTGCCAGCTTTTGGCCATATGGTGTGATATAAAAACTGAATGTAAAAGGCATAGATTACAGGCTACCTTTATGTTCTTTAACTAGGGTATGACAATTTTAATAATTGCAATACTCAAGTGAACCCTTTCAACCTGGGCCCTATTTTCCAATCTACTTGTCTAAATGACTGATAGGATGTTCAATATTTGACATTTCTCCAGTATGAAGCTAGGGCCTGCCTGCGTTAAATACTAGGGCATCCAGACAGCGTCAAACAACATCAAAATACGTCCACTGAAAGTGCATTTTTTTCACACAGATAGGCTCGGATTGTTAGTATAATTATCCAACAACATAACGGAAAGGAGAAATGAACGTCTATGTTTACCTTGAGCTAGATTCGGACATGGTCATATTTAACATCCTATCACCCATTAAGACAAAAGTAGATCGGAAAACAGGGCCCAAGTTGAAAAAAAAAAACATTAGTTCCCCTTTAACTTTACATAGCTTTCATGGGACATTCATGTATTGTGTCAATAGACTTCCAAATGTTACTCTTTTATGCCTGGTCACTATTCTGCCTACTACGTTAGATCAAGTAATGTCTGACTGGAAACACTGGCTGCAGATCTATCAGTCTTACTAAACAGGTCTGTGCTGATACTCACAGACAGCAGTTACATCACTGCATCCAGCCCCCCATAAAGTGCAATCAGTTAATTAATCACAGAAAAATTAATGCGGATTAATCGCGTTCCATGGTGCCCTTTAACCAGGTGCATCACTGAAAGCCACGACATGATGGAGGTACACAAGGCGACACGGCTTGGCCCTGTGAATGGAACGTTTACCTTTAAAAAATGGGCCAGATGGAGCTGTAGATAGGAGCGCAATTTCTGCAGTGAGGAATTTTTGTACCATCGCAGTACTGTAAGCCTGTAATATCACCTCAACACAAAGCATTTAACAGTGAACCCAGAGGTCAGAGCTAGCACAGCCTCTGATGCTAGCGCTAGCAGCCTCAGTGAGCCACACTCGACCAGGAGTTCAGAAACAAACTGAGTAAGTCTACCTGAGAGCGACTAGCTAACTCCCTTGCACAATGGATTGCAATGGACTGTAGGCTAGTTTCAGTGGTAGAGGACAGAACAATCCTGTCCAAAATCCAGCAGCTTTACTGTGACACATCTGCAAAAATTCATTTAAATTCAAGTTTTTAAAAACTTTCACAGCAAAAATTAATATATGTGATTAATTTAGATTAACTAATCACAGAGCATGTAATTAATTTGATTTTTAATTGCTTGACAGCCCTAATATGTTTTCTTTTATGTGTTTTGAACGAATACTGACATCTACCAACTCGAGTACTTGAGTATTCGTGCCCATCCCTAACTTTTACATTAAACTCCTAAGAAAATAATAGGAGCACTGTAACTGCATGTTAATTACACCTGCACTATCAAAAACAGACAGAACCTGCCCAGAGGCGTTCTCCAACACTTGTCCTTACCTAAGTCCTAAATAATCAATTGCAGCCGACCCCTTAGGGAGCAAGGTCGACTCAGAGCGAGGCCGGGCCAGGCTGGGTCTGCTTTGCCAGGGCAATGTCAGCAAGGCACAGCTACGTTATTTCCCATGACCCCTCAGTGACCTCCAATAATACCTCGAGATTCATTCAGCAGCTGAGAAGGACCTATGCCCCACTAACTCAAAAATTCACAAAATTCAAAAGAAAATATGTGAAAATTTACCCTCTGGCCTTCTGTGCACTGCATGAGTAATTTCATATGAAAAAGATAAAGGAGCAAGTACTGAGGCATGAATCAGGTCTCCGAACCATGATTAGCCCCGGTGCAGAAGCTTAAGGAGATGCTGTTTTCTCTGCCGTCTCTCGCTGAGCCCGGCTAACTGTGTGCTCCAGCCTACAGAGAACACTGCCCATAATAAAAAGCCCTGTGCAAGCAAGCAGGTAAGTTCAAAAGGACACTGCTTTTTCTCATGCCCTCTATAGTACTTGTCCAGAAACAGACAAAAAGTTGGTAAAACAAGTTCTTTATCGCAACAGGTAGTACCACACACACACATTTTTCTTTCACTGGGGCTTTTAAATGATCGATCACACCTACAGTGCTTCACAAGTGTATATGGATTCATACAAGTAAATGCAAAGATTTACAGATAAATCTTTACTTTTTTCTCTTCAGCACGTAAAACAGCTGTCACCTACATACACATTTTGCTAAAAGTCTTAACCTTCTTCATGACAAACGGCTTCATCAAACTGCTGAGTCATGCACAGTGAGCACACACAGACACACAACCATCTTCGAAATCTTTCTCTTTCCTCTCTAATAAACCGGCATCTTCGGCCCCCAGAGCCCTGTGTCATCATTACCCTCTCTTCTATGTTTGTAACCATTAAAATGTGTTTCCAACAAAAAAATACTGCCTGGCTGCTCTCTTGGTATACACTGTATAGGTTCAGCTGAGTTAATGTTTTCTCCATCTCCTCCTCCATCCTTCTGCATTAAGTTAAGACGACAAAAGTGAAATAAATTGCACAAAAAGAGCTGTATCTTGAATGTTTCTTCCACACAGACAAATACACTCAATTTTCTGAGGTCCTTACCTTCTTCTCTCTGATAACTATGCCGCCCCTCCACAGTTCTCTATGGTTCATACAGCTGTGTATGTCAGCAGGCTCCACCAGAGCGGCACTCAGGTAGGACGCTGCTTTTTGCCACCTGGGAAAGAAAAAAGGATCAATCAATGACCAGCACAGGGGAACTTTAGAAACTAGTATCCTTGATTCATGTAAATTAAGTATAAAAGCCCTGATTCATATTCAGATCTCCTATTCAAGCAAGTCTGTCATGTATAGTGAATCTTATTTATATAACCAAATCACAAATTTGCCTCCAGGGTGTTTATAATCTGTACAGCATACAAAAAACACTTAAATAGGGAAAAAAAAGAAGAAAAATCAGGAAGAGCAACTGAAGAGGGACCCCTGGTTGGACAGACATGCAAACTATGTTGTGTTTACAGAGTATCCAACATAGTAAAATTACAGTGAAGACGGGAGGATGTCAAGCAACTTCCTGGTGTCACAAATCAAAGAGAGCCTGAGCCACACAGCCTCCTCTTCACTGTGTAACCTGGAAAAGGTACAGGCTACACAAACAGTAGCAATATATTGCTATTAATTCAATGCTGCTGTTTTGCCATAAACTTAAGTGAGTACTTCTGTAGAAATGTTCCTCAGATTACTCGAGCATTACTGTGAAATTGATATTTGCTCATATTTACTCTTCTAACCCCCCCTAGTGGTGAACTGAGAGAAATTCACAGGTAATGGTATTTGAAAATTCACACAATGCTTCTCCATGTCCTGCATATGAAGCCGTCTTTAAAATTTCTCATCTGATTTTCATGCTTGGGAATAAATTGATAGTTGAATAGCAGGGAATGTATAGGAACCTTGTTAATACAATGACTTCAGGGAGGTTCTCTTGTTAGCGTGTTTGCATATTAAGATAAGTTTTAAAGTGTATTCATCATTTGCTTTGTTCAACTCAAGAAATGTTTTGCATGTGATTTATTCATCTCCTCACCCAGTGGTGTGCTGTGTGACTACAGTGATCTTAGCAGCATGCCAGCAGGACATATGTTTGAGAGCTCCCAGCAGAGGCAGCAGGTCTTTAACAGGAGGGGAATGCTCTGCAGAGCCCAACACCAGCACATCCAGCAAGGCTTTACCTGAGGGGTGGAAATGAGAAAAAACCAAAGAGGAATTCATTAAACATTTTCTCTCAGTTTTTTTTCTTTCTACATGTCTCTATAGAATTTCATGAGGGGTCAGTGAACCCAGCTAGTTGCTCCACTGACACCATCTTCTTAACAAGTCGGCAAAGTTGCCCATTTGCAATTCGAAATATCAAGAAGAGTTAGAAACCCATAGTGACTTCAGCCCCTCAGGGCAGCTATCGACGCTGTGTGACTGTTCCTAAACTCCTGCAGAGGTGGTGTGCTAAGAAATGCTCTTTAAGAAAGTGAAATATCACTTCAGAAGACAGACTTGCTAAGATGTAGTCAAAGCAGAAGCAACCCATATTCCCAGTGGTGAGTGCATATTCATGAAGCACAGTAGGCCACCTTTTCTACGAGGCTGCCTGCAGCAGGCACAGTTTCAACAACTAATTGCTTGAAATTGGACTGGATCATAGTCACACAGCTGAGAAGTCTGGCTTGAGTAAAGAGGTTTTAATTCCTCATCATCTGAAGCTTTTGGCAAAGACAAAACTCTCACTTGAGACATTGTTTTGTGCAGTAAACCAACTTTGTGCTCTGTTGCCCTATCAGTAAACTAGATGACTGTTGTTCTCCTCATTAAATAAACAGTGCTGCACAGACAATCACAACACCCAGTATCATTTGAGAAAAAGTGTGTGGAAACATTTTGGATTAAATACCAAAAACTGTGCCTTCAAAAATTTGGATAAATTGGCATGTTGGTTGTCATTCAGTCTAACTTTATATTTTAAAAAATTGACAGTCCAACTGAGCTCAGAGTTAATATCCTCACAAATGACAGCTTCAAAATTATGCAATTACTCACAGCAGCTATAAGTGAGTGCTATGGAGTGGTCAACAGTACCTGGAGGTGGAAGCTTGTCTGACAGTAGATGCAGTCCTTCTGCAGCCTCCTCTAACAGCCTGTTCAATAAACACATTCAGATCTGATCAGGAAGACTTATTATGATCTCACATTGGATGTATTAACTAGGCACATACCTGCAATACTGAGCAGAAAACAAAACAAGCATATTTTATATAAAGAAGATAAATTATCATCTGTCGCTCACTCTGTCAGCGCTGGCTGGTCAGCCTTTTGGTCCGTTGCCCCCTGATTACTCAAAAAACTGAGACATGATTCCACAGCAGTGGGCTTCTCCTCTTCACTGTCAGTTTTCTGATGACCTGTCCCCAGCTCCTCCCAGTCTGAGCTGCAAAACTACAACACAAGTAATATATGTAGATTCAAGTATAAATGCCCCTTTTCCTTTATCATTGTATCAATAGTTTAAATGATATAAAACATTATACATTTTGAAGGAACACTTCTATTGGCATATTTCATTAGATCAAGTGGTCAGCATACACATGGATTAAACATTTTATCGATAAAATAAACAGTGACACCACCAACCATAAAACAACACATAGATGTGATGAAGTGCAGTATGACGACATGTTGCGAGATCACTATAAAGTTAATTAATTTTCCATAACTGCTTATCCTGTTGGGGGTTGGAGCCTACCCCAGCTGATGCTGGGGGAGAGCCAGGGTACAACCTGGATGGGTTTCATAGGGCTGACACAAAGAGACAGGCAACCATTCACACTCACATTCACACCTACAACCAATTAAGAGTCACCAGTTAACCTAGCCTTCCTCCACCTAACCTTCGTGGGAGGAAGCCGAAGAGAACCCACACTGACACAGGAAGAACATGCTTAGTCCACACAGGTGGGCTCCCCCACCCCAGGGTCCGAACCAGGAACCCTCTCACTGTGAAGCAACAGTGCTAACCTGTGTTTGTAATTTGCCAACAGTATGTGGTGTATTGTGGCTTTGGCAACTTTAATGAAAAACATTTTGTATCAATACCTTGCCAAAGAATTTTGTTTACATGTTGTATTATGGACTCATTGAAGACACCAACCCAACAACACAACAGCAGCAACAATACCAGTGGTATATACTGTAATTAGACTTCCTTCTGTAAACTCGATAAGGTTATAAAAGTTCAGCACTTCTCCACATTTACCTCCCATTTCACTTTTCTAAGAGGAATTTATTTTTAAAGATTTTGTTGTGAAAGTCTAGCAGTAAGGGGATTCATACGGTTGGTTTAAATGTATGACACTAAACTTTTCTGGCAGGAACTCTCCATATGATTAGGACCATGAAATGACTATCAAAACTTAATTTGTTATTTGAACATAATCTTCTGAGCCAGCCATGTTATTGACTATATTGACCGTGTGTGTGCGTGTGTGTGTGTGTGTGTGTGTTTATATGTGGGGGTGGGAGGGGAGAGTTTTTCAATATGTATGTAATATTTTTGTTGTATGTTTTTATTCTGTGAAGCACTTTGTGCTGCATTTTTAATGCAAGAGTGCTATACAAATAAAGTTTGATTTGATTTGATTCTGATCTATGAATAATCCTTATCCATACACAGAGGCATTAATTGCTTCACAAAGTGAAAAAGGCTGTAGGCACATGTATAGGCACTCATGTCAAACTCCTTCCAACATAACTCATATTTATAGCAAAGCTATGTTTACTCTTCTATACGTCTCACCTGTGTAATTCCTTGGCAAGCCTGAACAGCAAAGTACCACCTCTGGACTGATGGGCTGCCACTGAGAGAGCAAGCTGGGAAAACATGCAGAAGGAGGACAGAGGTGAGGAAAGATGTAACTAACTACAGCTTCTGTGTGAAGGTCTTATAGTGCCTAGGATACTGTACCTGGAAACACAGAGACACCCCTCTCGGATTCCTGAGTTGAGATGCCCACAAGTTTGTCATATACCTGCTTTACTGGCTCCAAACCTGTGAACAATAACAGCTCAGTGGTCACCAACAGACGACTGGTTTATTTACCATTACAACATGCAGTACACATAAAGGCTAGCACCTCCTTTGTTAGCATGGGTTAGCCCTTCATCAGTTTAGATTATGAAATCTAATGGGGAAACACTGCTTGCTGCTAACATATTATATTATTCATATTCCCGTCAGTTACCAACAGTTACCAACTAATGTTAATGGCAATCTCTTCTTACCACAGTGGTTTGACTGGGCATCGTTAACTGGATTGTTTAACGCTATGAGACAAATGTAGCTCGTGTGGCTCAACTCTCTTGAAACAAACACCGTCAACAATGTAACAAGTAAACAGTTAACCTATGTGTGAATATGAATATCGTCCGTTAAGTGTAACACACTTTTAAGCCACTGGCTAACTTCACCTGGTTTAGCAGCGTTGACGTTAGCAAAAGATAAACTTACATGTATACTCCTCCGCCACGCCGTCGTCAGTTTGGCAAAAGGATATAACCAATATGTAGCGGTCCATGTCGTGTAAGCATTAGTATTTTCACGAATGATGTTTGTAAAGAGTGAAATATCGGTCATTCGTCAACAACAATCTTTCGCGCACTGTCAAATTTCCCACCAGTTCTTCTTCTTCTGTAATTTGTCGGTACAATGTACCGGCTGGTTGCCACCAAGCGTGCTACTGCCACCTGCTGGACTGAGACTGAACTACCATAAAGACCTGTTAATGCTATTAGGAAATCCAAGGAGTCTGCCTCACATCAGATGGTGTTACAAATGACCTGGTTTTTTATTGAGAACTGGACATATGTCTCAAACTTCATGAATGAATGAAGACAAAGATAACTATGTTAGACCTGACTTTGTCTGAAAAAGTCCTAGAAACACTTTGTGGTGTGACTAGTAGCCCCAAACTGTCTCTACAAGTATGTCTTGATTCAACATCCTGGATAGCTGAATCTATTTATTTGTTATTTACTCTCTATCCTTATTTAATGGTATCATTTTTATTTATGTTAATACTTGTACAACTTTATTTCAAGAAAAACTAATTTTAATTGATCTGAATTGATTCACCCTACATCAGATTCTGTCTCTTTCCTTTCCATACAATACACACTGCATTAATGTATGCTTTCTTAGCAGCAGTCAGATCTTATGTCATAGTTCACTAAAACACACCTTTAATCTCTAGTAATGCTAGATCATATAGCTGTCTAGATGATCCATCTTGAAAAAAAAACTAACAAAACTTTGTGATACAATGCAAAAAGTCTGTGTTGTTTCATCTCATGTTACATTGTCACACATGTCAAGTGTTGTAAATTTCACGATTTTTTTGGTTATGAAATGAGTTTCATGACAAAACGCGACTTAGAGATTTCTTATACAATGTATAAAAATGTTCCTTTTTTCAGTTCATTATCCATTTATTCTTAATGTCTCCAGCTGCAAATACTAATGGTGCCTTTACATCAATGCAAGGTTTGGCAAAAGTCTTTTCTGTTGGCTTACAAACTTATGCAGAGCACATGATGTTACATGACATCATCAAGATAGGCCTACTTCTTCGTCTTCTGATCCATAAACTAGATGGCGTTCACCAAGAGGTGCCTTTGGTAAAGATTTTTCGGATTTCCACTGACTTTAAGGATGGACACTGTGAGGTTGTGAGGACTGGCACAACCTTCACAAATTAGCTCCAGAGGATTGTTTGCAGAGTGAGGGTAAGCCAGATAGCATTCGAGAAGAATTACTGCATGTGGTTTTGGAGATTTCAGGCAGAGTTCGAGGTACACTGGCTTGCCAAGGAGCTCTCACAAGGGCTGATGGTGTAGCTTGAATACACCTCATCTTTAGCAATTCTCAGCTGAACATCATTTAAGCCGATACAAATGCAGTTGCAATTCAGGGTCTTGACCATGAAGCAAACACTGGCCAATGACTGCTGAGTGGTGCCCCCCGATTTGCTGTAGCGGCATTCAACCATGACCCTGAGTGGATCACTTCTTATAATTACACCATACTTGAGGTTCAGGGCTTTGACAACACTCCGAACTTCAGCCAGGTAGACTGTTGTCTCGCCAACTTCAAAAGCACAAGCTCCAAATTCTGGAATCTTTGGAGATTATTTTTTTAGCAAATGAAGCCACTCCAGTGCACAGAGCAGAGCAGGACAGGGATTTTATTTAAATATTCTTTCTAAGTACAAAATACATCTCATAATCACAATATTGCACTTAATGTTTTAGAAGTTACCAATAGTGACTGAGAAATAAATACGGCGAAGGAAATTCTGGAACATTCATGATATCCTGATTTTATTGCTTACTGGTAAATTGTATGTTACTTCACTTTTGTAAACTGATACTGATCCCCTCAATACTGATAAGCCAAAAGCTTAATGTATTACTAGTTGATTTCTACTGTGTGTTCCTGGACGTAGACGATATAGTGGTGAGCGTTTTCTCCCTGAGTGAGGACTGTCAGAGCCTCCAGGCCGTGTGCGTCCTCCACCACCATCACCTGGTTACCGGTCAGACCCCCCTCTGCGTTCACCACCATCAGCTGGTTGCTGCAGTTCCCGACTTCCTGCTCGTCAGCCACCTGCAACTTTAGCCACAAGTCAACATCAACATTTTGCTGTAACCACTCATGGTTTCCTGAGTATGTAATGTGATGTTGTTTACCTGTTGTACAACGGTAACAGTGCCTGGAGCCATGGCAACCATGGAGGTGACGGCATTGTGAGTCTCTGAACTTAACTCAGTGATCTGCTGGATATTAACTGAGCACAAAAGATACACACTTACTTAGAGTTTTGTCTTTTGGGTTGTATCTACTGTATGTTTATCACTGGTACTGTTGTTACCGTTGTCCTGCAGCGCTGCTACAGGTACTTCAGTCAGCTGTTCTTCATGCTCCACAGGCACGTACTGGGCCTCTACTGCCTCCTCCACCTGCATAATCACACATATGTATTACCAGATAGTAGTATCTTAAAAGTACTGGCTTTGAGGAATAAAAACAATACTTATACAACATGCTTTCATAACCTGAGATATTTCAGTCTCCACAGCCACATCACCATCATAGCTAAAAATAACCCAATGCCTTATTTTAGTGTATCCTGTCTGTGTATGTGGATACTGTTTACCTCCCAGGTGCATTCCACAACTTTCAGGCTGTGCTTGCTCTTCAGGTGACGGTTCAACTCCCACTTGGTGCCATAAACAAATTCACATTCAGGACACTTCATGCCACCTAAACAAAGGACGCCAAAAGCTATGTTGGGTTATGATGAACGCACTACAGGCCCAAAGTAATATTAAATGATTTTTGTCGTAGCATCAAATAGATTCTCACAGAGGTGGGACCAAGCCATTGTTTTGCAAGGCACAAGTCCCAAAACTTTGAGTTTCAGGTCCTACATGAGTCATAATGCGCTCTTCACCAAATGTAACGCCATTTTTACAACAGAGTAAAACTTAATTAAATTTATAAAACTCACAAATGCTTTTTAAAATGTGTCTTAATTTGTTTAAAACATACTTTGCTGTTGAGTTAATGTTAGCTAAGCATTAGCTCTGTCACTGTTAATATTAGCCTTGACTTATCGTTCTTTGTGCAGCTTCAAATGTCAAACAAAGTTGGAAACTGTTGCGCCTCTGTCTGTTATTTTCCACCCACACGTTTTGCATACCGCAATTTGTTTGCGTAGTTTTTGTAGAAGATAATCTTTGGTATCATTTTTTCAAACTGACATATAATAACGCATCATTCTTCAAGGTTCTCTCCTGCACCTTGATTGGATGCTGTTGGATCGGTTCAAACAAAGTGGATCTGGAGAATTAAGCGTAGAACTGCTGGGAACGAACAACATTAATAAAGGGAAATTAATTGATTTGTGCTACACTTTTAATCAATATACTTTTTAATATTTGGGCTTGGATGAAGGGATCAAGTATTTTCAAGTCGAAAGGCTCAAGTCCAAGTGAAGTCATGAGTCAGTGGTGTTAAAGTTTAGTTGCCAGTCTTTTTTGCTTTTGCCAAATCGAGTCTAAAGTTATCAGATTTGTAACGTGAGTCTGACTCAAGGCATGTGACTTGAGTCCACACCTCTGGATTGCCAACCCGAAGGATCTTTACACAGTACAAATATCCCACTGTAGTAAAATGTTACTTTAACAAACATGATGAGTCTAAAGAACAGACCTTGCTGTTTCAGAGCATCAGGGTTTGGCTGTCCAGGTCCAGCATTCTGATACTTCTGATCTGGGTGTTTCATGTTGTAGTGTCGCTTCAGGGGACCAGCAATGTTGCAGGAGTAGTGGCAGTGGGCACAGCGAAATGGCTACAAAGATAGACAAAAATACACACACAATTTAAAGGGTTACTTTATTTTCAACCTGGACGCTATTTCTCCACATTTTTGTGTCTAAGTGACTAATGGGAACAACAATTTTAAAAATTAGTCCAGTAGTAAGCTGACTCCCATCCTCTGCAGGAGGAGATAAAAGCTCTGGAGAGCTCCTTCAGCGATAGATTCACCCAAAGTGTGTGAAGGAACGCTATCGCAGGTCCTTCCTGCCTGCTGCTGTCAGGCTACATAACCAGCACTGCTCACAGTAGACTGCACCATGGACACTTTATTGACACTTTATTGACACTATAGACACTTTATGGACACCACAGCTGTCTGCTGTTTTGCACATACAATCACTTGCACTAGATGTGCTCCCTTCATCCACTGCTCATTTTCATTCACTGCTGCTCATTATTATCCACTTCCTATTATTTTCATTATTATTATTATTGTTATTGTTATTTATCGCCGACTCTTGGATTTTTGTACTTATTTGCATGCCTAGTTATTTAAGTTTTTTAAGTCTAATTTTGAAATCTTTAATCTGACTCTTTTTCCTTGACTGCTGTAACACTGGAATTTCTCAATTATGGGATCAATAAAGGTGTATCTTATCTTATCTTATCTCTCTTATCTTACATTTCCCGCAGCTGACAGCAGCAAACGTCTGCGTTTTAGCAGATATAGAGCCAGCATATGTTCACATCGAACTGGGTGAATTAAGGGTTTACAGTTGGTGTGATTGTTTGAACAGTGAAAAGACAATCCAAGACATCTTTTGTGAGTTTTACTTAGTTTCTGTTGACTTTGAATGAAGTGTGCTTTATGATGATAAAATTACTGTTTATTTTAATGGAGTCTGGTGGGTGTGGTGGGGCTGTCTCTGGTAAAACAATAAGTAGGGATTTCTTTCATAATGTTCCTGGCTGCAGTGCTCTCGCTCAATATTGGACCAATTATAAAAGTTGTTGTTCCCATTAATCACAGAAACGTGGGAAAATAGGGTCCAGGTTTACAAATACAGAAGTTACCCTTTAATGCAAAAATGTTAAATGATTTTCACACAGTCATTTTGTCAAAACAATGACTAGACATCATGAGTGAAGCTTGTGTGTGTCTGCCTGTGTGTTCATTCTGACCTTAAACTCAGCGTGTTGCTCCATGTGTCGGAGCAAGGACGGTTTGGAGACCGAGGTGAAGTCACACTCGGAACACTGAAACCGTTTCCCTGAACAAACCAAAAAATATTTCCCCTTAAATTATCATCGCTTTGCACTCAAATTTCTGCTTGTCCAGCAGAATACTTGTGACGTACAATAATCAGTTATAACACAGATAATAATACACAGACAAGTGATGCGTACCTTCGTCAGAGTGGCTCAGTCTGTGGCTTTTGAGCGTGACTTTAGATTTGAACTTTTTACCGCACAGATCACAGAGGTGTCGTCTCTCTGTGTTGTGTCGGTTCATGTGGGTCTTCAGGTTACTCCTGCTGCGGCCTGCGTAGTCACACACAGTGCAGACGTATGGCTTCAAACCTGCACACACAAACACACAGAAACAAAAGAATAACCACATGAGACAGCAACACAATACTAAAAAAAACAAAAACTTTTATGGAGTTAAGAAATGTAAATGTGTAAAGGAATGAGATGATATTTGGTGAATTAAGGTACTTGAGGTTTCTATGCAGGTGAGTGATGTGTGTGTGCAGCCAGCAGTGAGCCAGAAAGTGTAGCATAAACTTTAGTAACAAGGACAGTGGCAGAAAACCACAAAAAAACAAAGCCAGATAAAGCTGCAGAAAATCTCAATGAGCAGATGCATTGCAGGGTTTTTCTGGCAAATTGGCCATGCTCACTGAGACCTTCATCAACACCTGTGCTAGATTTATGTCTGCCAACTCCCTCAGCCTTAGGACAGATGTAACTTCAAGGTAAACAGCTTATCAAGGTAAAGAAGCGTTTAAGCAGGGACTGAGGGGAACGGGAGTAGACTACAATATACTTGCTAAAACACTGTGCATTACAGCTACTGTAGACATGATTCATGTGTTACACAACTTCAGCTGAACAACCACACATTCATTAGAGGTGATTTTAGATCAGATTCCTCATTTGGCATTATGGGAAAAATTGCACGTTGACCAAGAGATCATTGCAAGAGAACAGTCCTTAAAACTGGAAAACAGCATGTCTCATAACTTTGGTGTAACTTCTGCCAGTCTTCATTGCCAGATTTCTATTTTTTTCTTCTTTGGGATGATGCCAGCAGCATACAAGTAGACAATTTTGATTGATTGTGTTCTCATTATTTCACAAGTAATTTCACCAACTGTCCAATTTCCCTCTTGCAGCGTCTGCTGTTTTTAGTCTAGTCCATTCTCCTGGATGGCAGCCAGCAGGAAGAGAGACAAATGGAGGCTCAGACCACAAAGCAATCAAGCAGTGAAATACTGTCCATGGTCACTCATGGGCCCAGATGTGTTTCTTTGCACTTGTGATGCACGGTTGTGTTAGAGGTAGAGGAATATCTCACCTTCGTGGGCCCAGATGTGCCGCTGAAAGTCACTGCTGTTCTTTAGGAAGTAGGAGTCACAGTAGGGGCACTTCTCTGCGCGCTGTACCATCAGTCCTTTACCCTGCACAGGTAGTGTGTCTGTCCGAAAAACATACATGTAAACACAGTCAGATCACAACTTTGAAATCTTCTTGAACTTGGCTATGTGACTGGCTATTTATTTCAGTCAGGTGATATACTGGTGCTGTCACGATACTGGTATTTTCTAAGTTCGATACAATATCCTGGAAAACATTGATATCTATATCATGGTAGTGTGTTTTGTTTGTGTGTGTAGATATATTTGTGTGTTCTTTACCGGGGTGGGATGTTTTGATGTGGTGTTTCAGTTTGTGCTCTGGATAGCTTTGCTGGCAGACAGGACAGGTCACACTCTTCCCCTGTGAACAACAGCAAGACAAAAACATCAAGATGACTGACAAATCTCACAAAGAGAAATCAAGTCAATGTTTGCATCCCTCACAAAAACAATGGGTGCAACAGTGACAATTTTCACCTAGTTAAAGCTCAGATACAATTTTGCTAGGGCTGCATAATGAATGATACTTCTCATGAACTTCTCCTGTTTACCTGCTCCTGGTGCGTCCTCAGATGGGCCTGAAGTTTGTACTTGTCAGGTGTGGTGTATTTACAGCCAGGATTTGAACATGGCAGCAGCAAGCCGCTGTGCTTCTGAATCTGGTGACGCTTCAGAGAGCTTTTGGTGATGGACGAGTAGCTACACTTTGTACAATAATGCGAGTGCTCCTTGGTGTGAGTGCGTACGTGGACGTTATAGTGGACTTTGTACCAGAACAGTTTACCTGTGCAGAAAAAAGACACTATTTAATTCTCAAAGCAGTAATAAATAATAACATGTAATATAACGCAAAATTAAACAAAAATAACGGGACAAAACTAAACCAGCTCAGAGGGGTTTCATCATCTCACCACAGTATTGACATTCCAGGTCTCCGTAAATTTTCCTGAGCCGTTGGAACGACTCCATGTTGAGTCGAATCTTCTGAAGAGATGAGAACACCTGCTGAAATGCACTCTGATGGAGAACCTCTGACACCTGCCGGCAGAAAACAAACAACAAGTCAAAATGCTGGGAGAAAAGCTGACGAGGAGAAGGTCTGCCTGAGAAGAATATTAAAACATGATTGAAAGCAGAATTCTTCTAAAAAAAAATTTGTATTTTAGACACAAAATTAATTACTAAATGATATGGTGTCTGATTAAACAATTATACATTTAGACTTCATTGCACTGTAAGTGTAAAGTAAAAAAAAAGTAGTGCAATGTAAAAACATTGATACATATTTTCATCTTTAAGACACACCTCTATTTTGACATCATGACATGACATTAGTGATAAGCAGCCAAGAAAAAGACAACCAGGATATTTACTGATTCGATCTCATATGGATCGTTCCCAGGCCGCTAAATCAAATCAAATTTAAATTGTATTGTGGCAGACTTTGAGATATTAGCAAATATCAAAGCATTGTCCAAAGAATTAACAACTCTGGTATCATAATGAAACTTGTGATTTATACCCTTAATGGTCACTTAGATATAGATGACATAATTCAGATATATCTGTCTGCTGATGGCAAATTAAGTCTTGTAATATAAAAGATCAAAGAAGAAATAATTACTGGATTTTTAGTGCTGGTATTTAGTTGATTAATTGATCAATAGGAAATTAATAAGCAACTATTCTGATAATTGATTAATCATTACAATTTTTTTTAAATAAAACATCTCAACGTTCTTTTGTTTGAGCTTCTCAAATGTTCGATTCTTTGTTTAAACATTACATTTAATTGAATATCTTTGGGTTTTGGATTGTTGATTGGACAAAATAAGGCCAAGTGACTGATCAACAAAATATCGGGCAGATTAATTGGTTTTGAAAATAACTGCTACCTGTAATTAATTTACCTTTTCTGAATGTGGAGTTTGTCCATCTTCCCCTGGAGAAACTGCGTGTGTGTTTTCAGCTGCATGTGTGCTCCCATCAGCTGGGTGTGTGTCTTCTCGAGCCCTGTCCTCCAGCAGAGCAGTGTGACTGCTGTCTGGTGATAAAAAAGTCTGTGTATTGTCTTCAGCTGCAGCAGTGCATGTGTCGGCTGTGTTGTCCTGTGAGTTCTTCCCAGCTGTTGCTTCCTCCTGTCTGTCAGAGGGAGCTGTGGTTTCTGTAGGATTAGCTTGATGGAGCAGTTCTTGGGAACCTCCACTTTCTAATCCTCCGTCTTTGCCCTGCGCTTCTGCTGCACTTTCAACCTGAGATTTAGCTTGTTCTCCTTCTTTTTCTTCACTCACTGCTACTTCCAGCTGCTCCCCTTCCCCATCTCGCCACTGTTCCCCTTCTACACCATTACTTCTACCTTCCTCTCTTGTCCTTTCATCTTCACCCTCCTGCTCTATCCGTAGCCCTTCCTTCATCCCTTTCTCTGTATCTTCCTGCTCCTCGTAGCCCCACATGGCTCCTCCAGGCTGTATCAGATAGTAGCTGTTGTTGATACAGTCGGTGAAGGCCTGCCCCTGGTCCAGCTCCAGGTGAGACTCACTCAAGTGACTCTTCAGCCTCTGAGAGCTGACAAACTTCCCGTCACACACACAGCACACATACAGGAAGAGGTGCTTCCTGACATGAGCGGCGAGGGTGGCCATCTTGGTCGCAGCATGGTCACAGAGGAGGCAGGCGAAGGGACGCTGGGGCCCGTGGACCAACAGGTGGCGCTCCCGCTCCAGCTGGTTCTTGAAGCGCCGGTTACAGGTGGGACAGTGGTAGAGGAGCTGCCTGAGGCCTTGACGAGTCTTTAACCTGGACGAGATGAAACAGATTAGAAGGGCAGGTGTGTCGGACAGCAGATAGGAGTGTAAAATAATGTGGAACAAACCTGAGCTGTTGGTAGCTCTGGTAGACAGCAGGGTCCTCTAGATTATGTCGTTTCTCCATGTGTTGCAGCAAGTTCTTTACATCAGAGTATTTTTTCTCACAGAAGCTGCAGTGCTGCTTCACCTTCAGATGGACTCGCTCTATGTGGACCTGTATTACCAGAAACACAAGAATTACTCCTGCATCCAGAATCACAAAGAGTTCACATTGTGTCTCACAGCATGCATGTGAACCAATGCTACTAATGATATCAATAACAGTAATAAAGTAATAACAACACCTTGAGGTGTCCTGGGCTGAGGCAATTGAAAGGACAGTGCTGACAGCTGAACTTCTCTCCTGTGTGCTTCCTCAGGTGAACATTCAGGTTGGCTTTGAAGGGAAAATCAATAAATAAAACTACACACTCAACTCACGATAGACCTTGAAGACTGGGTGCTATATCCTTAATGTAACTGATAAAGTAAAGACTAGAACAGCACTCAAATTTAACTTTTTAATATTGCTACAGGGATGTTTTGGGCAAGACGCCCTTCTTCAGCGTGTATGCTGGCAATGTCACGAACAATACAACAATACATAGAGGTGGGATTAGTTATAGATGACCACAATCAGCACAACAAGATTTAGAATCCTTCACAACAAAGGTCAAGGACTGTACCCACTCTAAGCTAAATATGTATATGTATGTATGTGTACTTTAGTATGTGTATTGAGGTATGCATATACTGTAGTTGTATGTCAATTGTTGTAGATAACACTGTAGGTCTACATGTAAAAGCCCAACTAGGCACTACAGTTGAAAATTAGCAATAGCTATAAACTCTCTGTGCAACACATCAGCCAAAAACTCTGTATTGGAACTATGTTAAGTTGCATCGTCCCTATCAAATAAAATAATAAGTACATCCATAACTTTGAAGTTTTATCATTTTGTAATTTTAATGTTGCTGTGGTCTGCTATATGTTTCGCAAATACTTATGCTTCCAGCAATTTGGTGTTGCTTGTTTTTAACTATTGATATTTTGTAAGTTTCCTCATGGTGAGAATTTAAGACTTATCCCGTCTTATTAACTTTAATAATTACAGGCAGCAATTGCAAAGTCACCTGATTATATACTCAAAGCTGAAATAGACATATCTTTTGCTTTAACTTATCGTTATAAAGTAAATGATTGCACAGTGTAATGGTTTCAGAATAATAACATCATCTGTGTTTAGATTGGTTCCCTATAAGTCACCAGGTACAATTTCCCGGGAAAATAAAGGCTCAATTTACAGCATAAAGGAAGTGCATTAACCATTGTGCAGCCAACTGCTTTCCAGGTAGCCATCGCTAGCTATCCCCAGTTACCAAAGAGTATCAATGAAAGTTCATTGCAGTTACTATCTCCAGTAGTGGAACAACTGAAGTAACTGTGGAAATTAACATGCAGTGTGTCCTGTGTTGCTGGTAGTTGCTCGGCTCTGAGGAAAACAGAAAGTTGTCTCTGGGACAGCGACGGCAACAATATGCCACTTGTAAACGCTTAAGAAGGAAAAGTTAAAGTTGTCTGTTTCCACTTTAAAGGAGAAGTTAAGAGAAAAGATTTCTACAGCCCCCTTCTACCAATAATCCAACAAGAAACACTAAAATTAATGTGCTTCACTCCCCCATGTTTCCTCTCTGCTCAAAAAGGCAATTTCAAAAACAAAATCTGACACGATTCAGTCTCACTTTGGATAATAAAGCTGAATTTTCAGTGTGGCCTCTAAAACAGTTTCTCCTGTGTGCCAGTGAGCTAGGAAGTACCTTTGATGGCTGATGCATAGTCACAGTGTGGACACTGGAACGGTTTCTCCTGGGTGTGCGTCCTGAGGTGGGCGACCAGTGAGTGTCTGAATTTAAAGATCTTGTTACAGAACTCACAGGCAAAGATCTTCAGCTGGCTCTGAAGTAAACTGGGAGACAGAGAGGACATATTACATATTACGTTTACCAGCTGACAGATGTAACTGTAGTGCTATTGTGGTGGTGGAGATTGTTGATGTTGCTCATAAAACTGACAGACTTGTTCAAATGGCTTTACACTGTACAGACAATATTTCCAATAGGGGAAGAAACTAAACAATTTACTCCTTATAAAACCAGTAAAAACAAAGTCAAACATATTTTTCTGTTAGATTGTCAGGTAAGAAACAGTTTGATTTACAGTGGTGTGCAGCTTGAGGTTTACACAGAAGCATTCAGCTACACTTAACGTCCAAATAAAGCTACAACTACAATAAAATAAAATCAATGTTAACACATTTAATAAAAAAACATATTCATGCAGTACTTGGGAGCATCTTGCTTGATAGAATATTCCTGAAAGCCTCTGCCGGCTGCTGTTGTTGAAGTTGTGGAGGTTGGGTCAGAGCTACGGGTAGAAAACAAGGGAATCAGCCTGCTGACAGGAGAAAACACTGACAGACCGCTACAACCACACACTATCAGGACTTCAACAACATTATTTATGCATGCAGTTCACAAATCACTGTCAGATTTATCAAGCTCACAGACAATATGTTATTATGACTATTAATTATGTATTACATTCATATTATTATAGGAGAGATCCCATTATATTACCTTGGCTCCTGATCTGTTTTAGAGTTACCCTCACAGGCAGCAGCTTCACTTGGAAGGTCTTGTGACTGACTCTGGAAGACTGCAGACTGCTGGTCATCGAGACAAATTCAATAAATAAACACATATAATACTGGGATTCTAAGATCAATTCAAATCAAATAATTCTATAATAATAATAAAAAGAAAAGACACGGAAAAACACACCATCACAGAATCATGACATTTAAATTTCAGCTGAAATACCAGTTAAATCGCTTCTGAGCTGACATCCTTGTGTGGTCAATAGGACCACGACACAACAGGCTGTTGACAGTTTTATAGAGTTTATTTTTTGCTAACAAAAAATATGTTTCTTAGAAACTGCTCACAATAATGTCTGTGCACTATCTTGAATAACTGGGACACTGCCCCTGGAAAAGAAAAAATGTAATTGCTGTTGTGGGCAACACAAGCGAAATTCTCTACAGTGTTATTATATTGGGATGGAGGCATAAATCTGAGATATCTCAAAACCCAGACAAATAAAACCAAAATAATATGTCAGGCTAGATACTATAAGGGGTAAATGAGAAATACATTTCACATTTGGGGTGAATGTTCCTCTCCTACCTGAGGTTGAGTATGGATGGCTGCAGGCTCTGTTTCTGCTGAACTGTCCTCTACTGGAACCATTTTAGAAACACCTGTTGAATTAAAAAGTAACTGTAAACAAATCCTCTGCAGCAGTCAAAACAGTTGTTAGCCAAACGCAAAAGCTTCTTCAGACAAACCTGGAAGTGTTTCATCTTGTGTCAGAAAAACACTGATGACTGACTTTTTGTTTCCCGTTGCAAGGCCTCCTTCTTTGGAGGTGCGGTTTCGGTTGGTTCTCGGGGGTCTGGAGCTGCCCGCGTCTAAAAGTAGAGACCGAGAAAGGGTCAGACCAACAGGATCATAAATCAGTCACAGTACATCACAAATCATATTTTGTAGTGACTTTAAAGGGGCAATTAGGTGTCCCTCCTGGTGAGAATTAGTTTGAACACCTTTTTCTCTCAAGAGTCCTGGTCTTGCCGGGTTTTGTTGCGTCTGATTTGGATCTCCTCCTCCAGGATCCACACTCCCAGAGCCCTCAACTCCTGCTCCACCAGAGATGCTCCCTGAAAATGATTATTATGTCTGTAAATCAGAATCATACCAATGGCTAAGTGAAGAAAATATATGTAAATAATTTTCTTCTGTTGTTGACACAGAGGTATTTAATAATAATCTATAATTATAGTAAGAATAATTCCAAAAATGCTCTTCTCAAGTCACTCACACTCAACTTTCAGTGCCTCTTTACCACACATTGACCTTTTTCTATTGCTGATTTGTTTTAATCCTTACCATTCTCCTCTTCGTCCTCCTCCTCCTCCTCCTCTTCTTTCAGGCAGATGTGTTTGAGGATCTGTCGTCTGTTGCTGAATGAGCGGTGGCAGTCTCTACATTCCAGCCCCAAAATCCCATCATGGCTTTCACCTAGCAGGGGGAAAAAAAACATAAAACCGTAAGATTCGGAATGACGATTTGTCAGGTTTATTTATATAAAATTTATGAAATTGTCTGTAAACTAAGCATCTTCTCTGTGCAGAGGGTTACACATAAATGGCAACAATACTACCTTGTATTATGTTACATTGTCTGTCTCCCTCCTCCTTATTCCCTTCTTCTCCTATTTGAACATTATCCTCAGGAGGATGGGTAGAGTTGGCCTTTCCCTCTGTCAAATCTATGCGTGTCTTCTTCGTAGAACCTTTAGGTCGTCCTCGCTTTCGCTTCACTGGGCTCTCTGTGAGCCAACAACACAGAAGAACAGATAAGAAGAAAACAATGGAGTTGGGGTTTTTTTCAGTTAACAAATCCCACTAAGAGATAAAAACAAACAATGAGTTTATCCTATAAACACTTGTTTTCTGTGAAACCAAAGCCTAAAATACAGATATTGCATATGCCTTATGTCATAGAACTCCATAGTTATCTTCCAGATGCAATGAAAAACACATTAGAGTTTTTGTCTTGTGCTGAGTGACATATTCTTGTGTAGTATAATGTATATTTTTCTTTCTTCTTCATACATTTGATTTGTATTCTCATTGTCTAATGAACTTTGACTTATCAGTTCAAGAACATTATTAATACTGTATTTGACATCGCTACCAAAAGCATTACACCAAGTCCAATTCATCCCCACATCAGTGGACACAGAGATAAGTATTATGAAACAGAATTGGGGTTTTTTAAACATGATTTCATGATAGTAATTTTGGCGATGACCCGCTAATCTGACCTGCCAGGGTCTCCACAGGCTCTCCTACAAGGGGCTGCAGAGCAATGATGATGTCATCAGGTGGCTCCTGCTGGGGGTGCTGCTGGGAGCAATGGGCCAGCAGCTGAGAGTGACTGGGAGAGAAGAGGTTGCACAGCCGACACATGAACACAGAACCAGCTGTGAAGACATGGAGAAGAGAGGTGGAAGAGGGAAACAAACAGAATAATTTTAAAGAGAGAGTGAGAGAGATCAACATACTCTGCCTGCTTTCAAACAATAAAGCAAATTTTGTTATTTTGAGTTATTGCACTGCGTTTCCTCATCTTGATTCTCCAGGCTCCACCTTTCACCCATCTGCAACATTTAATGGAAATAGGTCTTTCTTTAACATGAGTTTTATTTATCTCAGCTGCCAAACAGACAAATCAATGAAAAATGTTTCAATTTGTGTCACAGCAGTGCATTATAAACTTAATTTCGGGTGTTACATTATCTACAAAATATTGCATCATGTTGTTTTTAGTTTGTTTCTGTGTAAGTCAGTGTAGAGCATGCTCACTTTCTTCCATTTGTTTAAATTTGATTTCTATATTGTTCATGCAACAGGAGTTTAAAGAAGGGAGAAAATAAGGGAAATGGGAGGGAAGGAGGGTGCCACATTTTGTAACTTAAATGCAGTTTAATAATAAGTAATGGAGGATGGCATATGGGTTTGCTGGGAAAACCAATGATAAAAAATCTTTAACATATTATTAAATTATTTCTTTTGGTGTAAGTGTCCCCTGGACTTATCTAACCTAAGGAAATTTTCAAAACTGTTCTGCTAAAAAGTTAGTTTTCCTTATCATATCTTATATTTGGGCATATAGGACTACTGTTTTCTTTATATTTCATTACATTTTATGAAAAAACAATAGTCCCATGTGCCCAATGTATTATGCTAATGCGTACAATCAAGTATTTGCCATTTATGAACTCATTACAAGTTTTTAATTTTATTTTATGAAAAATATGCACACTTAAGCAATGGAAAATCCTTACTTTAACTATTGATAACAGTCTGATTTTTAATGTGATCTAAAACTTTCAGAGTTGTTAGATACTTTCCCTACGTATGTCCGGATCAGATTTCAAGACTCCAGATTGATCAAATCAAATGTGGCATTTTTCCTTCTCATACTAAATCTAGTCTTTGGGCACTAATGAGTTAAAGAAACTGTATTCACCCCAGCTGCTGTTGGCCAGTAAGTTAGTCTTGTTCCCACCCAGACACAGTAAACGAGGCTCAGACCCATAATTGGATATTGAATTATCAGCATTTCTTTTGCTGATAAAGTGGATGTAATTTATATGGTTGTTAAGTCATAACACAGGGGCGTTTCTGAAACATTGTTATCGGCTAGAAATAAAAGCATCTGTCAGAAAAATCCATAATAGTAACGGTCTTCAGTCCATTATCTTGAGCTTATACGGTGTGGTGCGGTGCTTTTGTTTTCTGCGAAATTGACCACAATATTAAAAATGAGCGAGCAGTAATTTTCAGTAGTGATGCATTCACACATTTTCCTTTAAAATAAGGTCGATAATCTGTCTTTGTCCACACCATTTGATGCTGTATGAAACCTGTAACGGTGACAGCCTCATCACCGAGCTTCAGGGCTAACGTTAGTTAACGGACACTTTTAGTAGCTGGCGACAGTGACACACGACTCCCTGCAGACTACTTACACCTTCACTACAGTACAAAAGTCTGTAAATGACGTCTACAGTGCGAATTAAAAAAAATAAAAGATCCTGAGACCTAGTACAGGTACACGTTTTGAGCTAAACACGTTTGTTTATTTTGATTTGGCCCAAAGTGACATGAAGACCCGACAAACATATTCGAGTTGACGCTAGCCAAAATTCTTACCTGCTTTTTGTCCATCCATTTCTCCAGCGTCTAAACAACAAAAGAATACAAATTTATCGATGGATCTGAGGCATCATATGACTAAATATAATCGCTAAATTTGGATTTAGAGCCTAATTTTACATTACGCACATTGAAATTTCTGTCGAATCTGCCACACAAGTCCTCCAACCGGCGGAAGTAGACGGTGATACTGTCGTAGCAGCGCCCTCTGTGGCGGGAGGACTGTACTGCGGCTGAAAAGTGGACTACAGCTTCGACCTATGGCTTCGACTAGTTAAAATGTTAATTTAAGGTTCCTGTAAAATAATTTTGACGTGTAACGAACTTGTTTTCACTGACAGAAATCACATTTTGACAAGCCAAAACTGATTTAAAGGTATCTTTAATTTAATGAGAGATATCAGGAATTTGGCACTAGCAAGATTATGGATTACAAACATCTAAAAATGAATTTCCACATGTTGAAAAAGGATTATGAGAGTGGAAATGTAGTCAGTATGCTAATTTACCATTTCCAGACTATTTGAATTTCTCTCTGATATCTAAAATGAAATTCTGACTATTAATAAAAGAATTGTAGATATCTCAAATATTACTAGTGTGAATATATTTTCCATATATGGGGCATTCTACCGATTGTGTGCAAAGTGCTGTCCCTTAACAAAAAAACAACAAAAATAACAAAAATTGAGTATTCAGACATAGATATTTACAAAGATTATGTTATGACCTATTTAAACCCAGGACATTAAATGAAAAAGTGATAAGCTAATGTATACAAAATCACCATTTATAGGGTACTTTCTATTAGGAAGTAGCTGTCCCCAACCCTGACCTCTAAAATTCAATTCATGTAAAAAACACTTAAAACATTTTTCATATTTTTTTCAAAAGGGTAATTTAAAACATCTTTGTGATTAAGTTTAAAAACAAGTTGAAAGATTTAGATGTATTGTGGGATTAATTTTTAAATTAAGAAATTATGCTAAAAAAAAATAGTGTCCCTCGTTTTCATGTCACTACCGAAACACAAGAGTTTTAATGCACTGGTTGAGTCTGGATTTTAGCCACACCCCTGAATTTCTGAGAAGGGGGTAGTACTGCACCCCCGTCCCAGATGGCTGCATGGTAAGTCGCTGACTCCGATCATTTTTTGAATAAATGTCTTCCAAAGTCTGAACATCAGTGTGTAACTTTTAAAGTTGTCACTACCGAACACATGTTCTCTTCAATTATGTCAAAATTTGGGGGGTTTATGCAAAATATTATGTTTTTCTGTGTGAACAACTCTTCAAACATGTGCTTGTTAGCCATGTGACTGCTAGCATTCTTTAGTTATCCTGAAAAATAGCTAGGAATGTCACTACCGAAACAGTCACTACCAAAACCTATGTTAAAGTTTCGGTAGTGACAAAATGGAATGGTCAGTAGTTAAACCCTATAATTTTGTGGTCCAAAGTCTTGCTCTTCTCTGCTCTACTCTACTCTGGTCTACTGTACACTGCTTTACTCTATACTCTACTCTTCTCTACTCTACTCTGCTTTACTCTATTCTGCTCTACTCTACTCTGCTCTACTCTACTCTAATAATGAAGCATCAGTGTTAGAGCAGCATGTTATTGTTGTAGCTGCTGGAGGTGGAGCTAGTTTCAACTACTTTATAAAAACTTGACTATTGTTATTATGATTAGGCCTGTCACCATAACAAATTTTGCTGGGCGATTAATTGCGTCAGAAATTATTGCGAAAATATTGAGTAATATTTTGCTTTTAAGATCATTTTTATTGTTGTAATTTTGCTGTTTTAGACCATTTTTAAACTTATATAATGACAAAAAAGGCATAGTGATGCAAGTACACCATTTTAAAGACAAATAAACATTTATTTAACAAGAATATTTAGGAATGCAAAAAAGAAAATTTAAATATCCGAAATAACACATAAAAATATCAAAATACATAAATAAATACAAAAAAATAGACTGTCAGTCTCTCACTCTCAGGTGTGCAGTTAAGTTGGTCATATTCGCTCTTTTTGTTGAGATGGTTTTAGAACAAACCCAGCACACCGGCTCGTCCAAATTACTGGGCTGCCCTCTGTCATTTGGTTTAAATCCAAAACTCTCCCACACAGGGGCCGTGGCATTTGGTTTAGGAACAAGTTCCATGTCTTTCTGTCAACTCTGTTTTTTTCTCCGCCTCGTCTCCCCCTCACGAAGATCGCACTGTGTGTGTGTGTGTGTGTGTGTGTGTGTGCGCGCGTGTGTGTGTGTGTAGCCCATAGCCCCGCCTCACCCACAGAGACAAAGACACTCGATGACAAGAGCTTTCCCTCCGTTCATTACGCTAATTAGTGATGTGACGTTCGCGAACGAGCCGAGTCTTTGAACCGGCTCTTTGAAGTGAACGAGTGAACTGGCTCTTTAGAGTGAATGAGCCAGTTCCTAATTCATGTTGTGTTGATGACCCCCCCTCAGTTAGAAACGAAAGGTAGGAAGCTAACCCACTATCAGCACTTGCTTGTATTGGCAGGCTTGTTGTTTATAAAGGGCGTTGCTATGGCTACACCAAACTTTATATGTGCAGGGTCTATTCTGGGTCCACGTTACAATATCCAGATCATGTGATGTGATAAATCAGCAATGCGATTCGTCGTTGAACCCACTAACACCCGCCCTCCACACACACACACACACAGCAATAACCCCCCCCCCCCCCCCCCCCCCCCACCACCCAAAAAAACCAGGACACCCNTGGTGGAGAGACGAGGAAAACAAATATGCATGAAAATGGCAATTAATCCCTTTTAATTCACCGTGCAATTAACCGACTTAGCGCATATTGCGACAGGCCTAATTATGATTCCCAGTCCCGCCCGCTCCCGTTGACTTTTTTTCCCATCCCGTCCCAATCACGCGACGAATAGTGAAACTGATTCCCATCCCGTGGGAACCCCACAGGAATCACGTGACCCGCGGGACTCCCGAAAAATGACCAATATTAAAAAATGTCAGCCTCTAGCTGGGATCTCAACCGCTTAACATCGCACACTGCACGGGTCCCATCCGGAGGATGGCAAGTCTCGCGGTGTATGACTGCACGGCTTTTTAGCCTGGAGACGAAGAGGCTCATCATGCACTTGGCAGGAGAATCTGGCAATCTGATGTTTCACAGCAAGAGAATACACATCTACCCATACCTTACAGCTGATTTGGTCGCGCCTGCGGGATGCAAATGTGAGGTATGGGTTAGCCTACTATTTCCTTGCAAGCTGATCCTAACATTTGCCAACAAAACTATGTCCTTCACGGACCACAAGGAGGCGATGGTGTACTACGACCAGGTGGTTAAACCAACTCTACATCCTGGGCACANTAACATTTGCCAACAAAACTATGTCCTTCACGGACCACAAGGAGGCGATGGTGTACTACGACCAGGTGGTTAAACCAACTCTACATCCTGGGCACAGCAAATGACTAACACCTTTATCTGAACAATAGTCTACTATGTGGGAAATGTAATAACTATACAACCTACCTTTGATTAAATCGGACATCATAGAAAGCCATTGATCTGCTGAGGTGGTTACAGGTGGTTACAATTGGAGCCTCATCTGATTGCAGAACTATTGGTTGACTATGGGGGGCATTTGATTAAATGATACAGGCTATACCTTGTCCTATCTTCTGTTTGAATTGAGGCGTCTAAAATAGCTACACATTAACCTGACCTAACAATGTGTTTGACTTGAAAACAAACGTGGTCGGTTATAATTAATTAAGTGATTTTTTTTTCAGGCTCCAGGTGGGCCATGTAAATGGGGATGTTTATTTAGAAAGTGTTCAGTAGAGGACAACAGAGTCTAATTAGAGACCAAACTTTATCAACAGGTCTGAGTCCTATTTTGCACCATGTAAAATTAGGCTACTATCCTAATTATGATGAAAATCATGGTGAAAATGGATTATGATGACTATCGCCACTTTTATTCTTTTTAGTAGCTGCTATTAAATAATTTTCCCTCCTGGTGGTCATATGCCCAAAAATACAAAATAATGGAGCCTGTCTGAAGTTTCTTTTTTGTTTTTGTTTGTTTTTAATAGTGGTTTATATAAATCTAATTGTTATTGTAGTAAGGAAACTCTTAGCTCCTTTTTGAAAGATATCTCTTTACCTTTCCTGACACCTGACAGAATAGATCACATTTAGATAAAGATATAACTTAAGAAGATATTTTGAAGGCTATGCACTCTCTCCAAAGTGACAAGGCACTGGGATTGGATGGTCTTCCAGTTGAATTTTATAGACAGTTTTCTCAGCAGCTAATGTCTTTTTTTCTTTCTATGATTTCAACCTGTCTTGAGAAAAAGCTGCTTCCTCAGTCCCTTTACATAGCGGCTATTACTTTACTTAAAAAGAAAGATAAGGATCCTTTGTTCTGTGCCTCTTATAGACCAGTCTCACTTTTAAATGTCGGCTATAAGATCATTACTAAAATCCTAACTTTTCGTCTCGAATCAGTGACCTCTAGTCTTATTCATTTAGACCAAACGGGGTTTGTACAGGGCCGTCTATTGTTTGATAATATACGTAGGTACTTTGATATCCTTTTTCACACTAAAGACTGCACAACCCCTATGGTAACTATATCTATTGATGCTGAAAAAGCATTTGATAGATTAAAATGGAAATATTTAGTAGCAGTTTTATCAAGATTTAATTTTGGCCCAATTTTTATTTCCTGGATTCATATTAATTATAGTTCCCCTATGGCTATCATAAAGACAAACACTCAGTACTCTTCTCCCTTTAAGTTATCACGTAGAACAAGACAAGGTTGTCCATTGTCACCGTTATTATTTGCTCTTGCTATTGAGCCTTTGGCCGCAATAATAAGATCACATAAAAATATACAAGGTGTTAAAATCGGAAGTGAGAATCATGTTATTTCCCTTTATGCAGATGACATTACCCCTTACATTCAATCCCTACACTTTTTACAATATTAGACCAGTTTGGAGACCTATCTGGTTACAAAATCAATTGGTCAAAAACTGAGATCATGCCTATTTCTAAATTTGATTTTGATTCTNATTAGACCAGTTTGGAGACCTATCTGGTTACAAAATCAATTGGTCAAAAACTGAGATCATGCCTATTTCTAAATTTGATTT